GCTTGTAATTTTCCCTTCAGCGCCTTGGGACGTCCTCCCAACGTGGAAGGAGCTATACAAATGTAATTTTGTTGTTGTTTCTATTTTCCCTAGCCCTAAAAAAACACCAAGGACATGTCCTTTTGAAGGTCATACTCATGGCCTTAGCTGCTGACTGGATAAGGCACAAAAAGCTGTATATTGATTGGGGCTCAAGATGAATGAAATTCATAGATATAATGGATTTGGAGCAGCACGCTGGGCAGGACTTTAATCTTCCCTGAAGGAATTAATTAAAATTGCATCATTTTCCATTCTACACTGTTGGATGTTGTACTGCATTATTTAACCTCTATGATGCTGGGTGAGAGCAAGTTTGGCTAAATATACTTGTTGAGAAATTTTAACGTTCAGTTGACATGATATTTCTCACACTGGCATTAAAATGTGATCCAAGCTGTAGCGACTGGCTTTGGGCAAAACAATTTTAATGAAGTCAGGGGAAGAGTGTTTCTCGCATTAGTTATTGCCTAGGATATTTCCAGGAATTAAATATCCCATACAGCAAGGAATTGTTAACTTTTTATGGCTTTGTTTATCTGTATCTTTTATTAGCAGCTAATGACCATTAGTTTTTTGGATGCATAACTTCTGTTTCAGTCTTGGACTTGCTAAAATCAAAACATTAAAGGATTACATATTTTGGATGTTTTGCGCTATTTTAAAAAAAACTTTCTTGGAATGTGTTCAAACTGGCGGGCCAACATTTACTGCCTTAGGAAGGCGGTGACTGTGGTGGTGGGCCTTTTATTATTTAAATAGTTTTCAAAACAATCCCTCCCTCCAAGCTCTTAAACGTTTTCTGACTGAAGTGTCTACAGCTGCATTTTTTTTATTTAAAAAGTGTGAATCCTCTCAACAATACGGTCGACAGCTTGCAGCTATATAGCACTCTCCATGCAGCATAGGGTCTCGGAATGCTGAATAAGCTCAATGTCTTGTGCTAATTCTATTGCTACTTATTTTAAAATGAAATAGGTGTAGGCGTGGAGTCCTACAGCTCAGTGGTTAGAGCACTCGCTTTGTAAGTGAGAGACCTGAGTTCAATTCCAGGCAGAGGGCGAAACCTTGGGCAAGTTTCCTTACTCCACACGCCTAATAATAATCCCTCCAAAAAAACAAAACAATAATAAATTGGTCATTTTCAATCCACGACTGTTTGTGGGACATTGCTGTGCGCAATTGGCTGCCGCGTTCGCCCACAAATATACAGTCAATTCACTTTACAGTGTGTTCTGTGAAGCGCTTTGGGACGTCCTCCTGACGTGAAAAGCGCTATATCAAATGCAAGGATTATTATTCATTATTCTGCAATGTGTCTTGTGATAACTACTGCTTATTGGCACATTAAGGTTGCGCAATATTTAAAGATCGACGAGGATTGCTATGTAGATGGCAAGTGATTTGATAAAAAGTTTTTTTTTGTTGATGCAAGAAAAATCTGAGTTGACTTAAGTGAACCAAATTTCAAGTTGAATATACACTTGTTAAAGAATTCCTTCCAGTTAGTGACCAGTGATGCCCTTTGCTTCTGCTGCTTTGTCTATCACACAAGCAATTGCATGCATCTGTTTCCTGCGTCAATTACTAGCTGAATTCATGGTAGATGCTACTGAACTATGCACCTGCCATTTCTCCAAAGACCAGCAACAGGAAAAATAACTTCTTGGGCTATAGGGAATTTTACCATTGCCTCAACAAGTTAACACGGGTGGATGGGCAACTTGTGCTTTTGAAATGAGTAAGTTGTCAGATAATTTATGAGTTCAAGTCGTAGAGAGATGCAGTAAGTTCTTTCCTGCAGATTCATGTTGTGGGGGTGGGGGGAGTTCTCAGAATCATTGCTCAATGCAGCCCAGTATCCTGTTTTGTGAATGATTATATGGAGTTGTGGGAAAGTTTTTTTTGGTAAATCCCACTGCTTTCCTGTTGCAAAACTTTCCCATTGATTTTCTTTAGTTATTCTTCAGTATTCAGCTGGCTTTAAATTGAATGCAAGATTTCCCAAAATGATAAAAAAAAACTACTTAACATGAAACATCCTGAAATTCACAAAGGTCTGAATTACTTCCCATATGTGACGAACAGAAATGAGTTAAGATCATACACAAAGTGGGACTATGTTTTCATAATATATTTTGCTTAATTTTGCCTGCACTTTCAGTACTTTGGTTAAGGAGTGCTGCTTGTTGGGAAATGGGAAGATCATTATACCAGTGATATTACTCTTCATTCTGACCTTTCTTCAAAAACAATGTTTGCAATTCAGGTATATAGATAATAATATCCCAACAAATTAATTGGCATTGTGTCTTTCACATTAGTAGGATGTTCCAAAGAGCTTCACATGATGTACTGTAAAGTGCAATGATTGTTTTAGGGGCAGCCAATTTGCAGGCAGCAATGAATTGAATAGCCATTATGGAAGTGGATTCAGGAATCTTACTTGGCCAATAAGTTAATAAATTAATACTGAGTAACATTTTTTGTAAGTAAGTATTTACAAATAGTTTCAATTGGTATTTCAACATCAATAAGTTGCATTTAGATAGCGCCTTTCACATCGGGAGGATGTCCCAAGATGCTGAAATTTCTACTTAGACATTTCTTAGAATTAAATGTGAATTGGTGTTGTGCTACGTACTACAGGAATGTATTGGGACAATGTTACGAATCACAGGTTTCATTATGATCAGTTGAATTTGCAATATGATTTTCTCATGATCTTGAAACAAACCTGCCATTGCAGTACTCTGTAAGTTTTAAGCATTCTTTTATATTGAGATAAATTGTTTTGACATTGACTGAATTTTCGATGGCTTAGGTAAAAGAATGACATTTTGGAGCTATTTTAAATATTTTTGGTTGATTGAGTTGGTTTCAGTTTAATAAAGCACATAATTCTGGAATGGTTTTGAGCCATTCCATTCCTAGGGTGATAATTGCAGTATTTACTGATTCTTGCTGATCAGCTTAATTTAGTTGGATCAATTTGCAATGTCAGCATCAAAGCTGCAATGCACAAATTAGTTTAGCGGCATACGTAAACAGTGACTGAGTTGACGCAGCAAATGTCTTGTGTCCCAGCACATGATGTGTAACACCTTTTAAAATAATAAAATTAAATACTTATCTCAATGGCTTATCTGTTCTTGGTTGCTGCGTGACCTGCAGTGACGGAAAAGCTGAACGAAATGAGCCAATGTGATTTGCCACCTCTGAGCGATTTTAATTATAGGTTGGCTCATTGGATTAAGCACAAAAGCAGGCAAAAACTAATCATGGCTTACCACCACGATAAAGCAGTAAAACGTGTATACCAAATGTCTTCTAGAACTTTGTAACTAAACAGACCTTTATTACTGGAGGTTTAAATGTGAATTTTTATGACTAACAGCCACTGTGGCCCAAATGTTTTTGTGTTCTTAGGCTTAAGACCATTGTCTTCAAATTTAAGATGGTGAAGAATTTTGGACCCTAACAGTTTTAAGTCTTAATTTTGAAGCTGATTTTCCACATATCTTTTAAGGTACCACAGAAAATGCAGAATAGCCCAACTTCTGTCTAACATCTCACCTATTTTGTTGGCCATCAAAATAAATGTTTCTTGATTGAGCATTTCTTGATATCTGACATAAATCTGTGCTATTTTTTATTTCTATGATTATTTTATTGGACAACCAAAAAGATTGGCCATCTCAGTCCCTGACTGTGATCTCCATTCCCAAACATAACCTTCTGATCCAAATGGGAAAGTGCTTCCTGCTGATTCAATATGAAATCCCAGGAACCAAGACATGAGCTACCTGTGAATTTTATTATTTAATGTAGGTTTTGAATGAAGGGCTGGTTATGTAGAGGGGAGAATCAGTAATTATTTCATTAATGTGACTAATTTGCAATTGCAGTGAACATTTTGATAAAAGTGCAATGTTAAATATGTTTGACATTTCACAGTTCTATTAATACTTTTAAGGCTCAAAGATAAAGTACATACTTTTGGTTATAATGGGATTAGTGTACTAAACAGGTATGTAATAAGTGCATCCTTGTGCTGATGAGCTGCACTTGGGTTGGTAATACTGAGGTGACCAATGACTGAAGTAAGTGAAAAGTATAGATCAATTGATCAGCGATTTGAGGCTAAGATCATAGAGACTGATAAGTGGCTAAAATTGATGTATATGTTTCTTTAAAAAAAATTGCAAGTAAAAGTTCAAGGCAAGGTTCAGGACTAATGGTATGGTTAGTAGCACTCTTTCCTCTGACTTTGAGGGTTTGTGGGTTCAAGCCCCACTTTAGGACTTGGAACTCATATGATCTGACACTCCAGTGTAGTGCTACATTGTTGGAGGTGCCGCCCTTGAGTTGAGATGTTAGACTGGGGCTTCATCTGACTGTTCAAGTGGACATTATGGATCCCATGGCACTATTCAAAAAGAGTTTTGGCCAACAATTCCCCAAATAAAATTGGTCATTCGATTTATGACTGTTTGTGGGACATTGCTGCGTGAAGTTGGCTCCTGCATTCACTGACAAAAAAAACATACGCATTCATATTTTCAAGGGACTACATAGAGGCATAGCAACACTATCAGGCAGAATAGATCATTGATGCATCTAGACTATTCAGCAAACTTATTAAATTTGAAAGCATTTCACTTTTATTGGTGGAACAGTGTGCATTTGTTTTGCAATTGAGCAGACCATGTTATCAGCTACTGGTTACGCAGCCTTCATTTGGAATTCTAGAGGGGCATTATTTACAATATATCTGAATTGCAGTGTCTTGATTTATGACTTATTTTTGCCGATTGTTAACAATAAATATTCAACATTTAAATTTACCTTGGCATCCTCTCGATGAGAAAGGTGCTATATAAATGCAATATGTTGTCGTTTACGCAGTGTGTTTTTGCCCACAGGACACCTTTAGCTTAAAATGTTCTTTCTTTTTACAGGTCTTCCAGAACAGTACTATAGCCTCACCTGGTTCCTTAGCCCGGTGCTGGGATTGATTTTCACTCCATTGATAGGCTCTGCTAGTGACCGATGCACCTTGACGTGGGGCCGCCGGCGGCCTTTCATCCTGGCTCTTTGTGTTGGTGTCCTCTTGGGTGTTGCACTGTTCTTGAATGGCTCCCCAATAGGTATATACACAATCATCATTATTTCTTAGCTTATGGTAAAACTAACTTGTTTTTGAATTCATACCTTTGTGGATATTCAGGAAATAAATGGCAATATTAAAATTCCAAAATCTTTGGAATGTCACTTGTTGTATCAGATTTGCTTTTTGCTTCGAGATTCTGAGCAAAGATAGTATTTACAAACTGTTGCCTATTATGTGGTATTTGAAGTTGAAAATGTTACTTGTGAATCCCACAAATAGTTGTATTCATAAATACCAATGTTATTCAACATTTACCAAATGTGTTTTTCTAACCAAACTAGGAGATTCTTGGCACTATTAGTCACCTCAGTCAAATGATATTTTTAATAGGAACTCCAGCATAGATTAACTTCTATAATGGAGTAGCCTCTATTTACACGTGCCCTAGTAAAAATCCCATTTTTTGTCAGCCGATCATCTGATTCATGCCCATCACTATGCTTAACAGTTTCCAGACCAGACTGACAGTTTCCATTGCTACTTACACATGAGTGTATTCCTATGTCTAGAATTGAGTCCGCAATGTCTCCCTGGAGGGACACACCCTACTTATCTAATTCAAGAATATTAGGTGCAGGTTGGCAAGAGCCAAAGATAAGGATTCCAGAATGTGCGTTGGGGTGATACTGGTGTTAATCAGCTAAAACTGCATAAATTGCATGTTGTGAATTACAGTGATATTATGATTGACATGCGTGCAGTTGCCTAGTGGTATTTAGAGTTAATAAACTTATTTTACAGTGTAATGATTTGCAATATCCATATGGATAGATTAAGCTTACTTTATAGCAACTGCATTGATTTTATTTATGATTTTATTTACTGAATTGCATTTTAGATTTATTCACACGCAAGATTCCATAAATCTTAAGCTTGTTCACATGAGAAAAAATGCCAGGAAACAATTCAAAGGAAATGTTTCCTGTTGTTTTCCTTTAATCAAAGAATTCCCAAGCAGTTGTGAGACAAATCTGAGTCCACATCCTTTTGTTATTGGTGCAATGTGTTCTTATCAGACTCGGTTCCAAGACCACAACCGGAGGTGTTTTTTTTAAAAAAAAGCTTTTTAAAAGAAAAGAACATTTGTGTATAAATATACTCCCAACCAGTTTGTTGCATGTCAAAATTGATAACAAAAAATTCTACACCAGATTAATACCAGTAAAATGAATCATTATCTTTTTGTTTAACTCAACATTCGTTGACACTACAGTCTTATCTGATTTTATATTTTTCAGTGAGATGCCTAGGTGTCAATCACATGAGGGTAAATTGATTGTATTTTTCATGCATCACACTTGAGGCACAAATCCTATGAGCAACTATTTGACAAACTAACGTTGTTCATTCTTCAGAGAGAGAAATTGTTTCAGAGGATCTTAAGAGTTGTCCAGCATTTTAAATGGGATTTAAAAAAAGGTAAACCCAGAGCAATGCTTTAGGATTCTCCAGTAGAACAAGAGGATGTGTGCTTAGAGTTAATAAAGGGAAATTTCAGAACAGACACTAGAAAGTTTTTCTTTAGTGAGAGGGTAATTAATGACTGGAACAGTTTGCCTGGAAAAGGTGCTGAGGTCATCCTTAAAAAGCAGCTCGATCCTGTGATAGGTGTACCATAGTGTTACAGAACTCATATCTCTGGATGAGAATTACACGCTCCTTCCAGGAACACTCTGAAAGGAGCGATCCTTCTCTTCTTTAATTACTATTTGGGTACGTGCCCGGTCAGAGCGGTCTCACAAAATACACCGAACACTTGGCTTTTAATAAAATATTTCTAAATTATTCAAACCCATTTGCTTCAATATATAGATTCCTGCATTCAGAGCATTTAATACAAAAATAACACAATTCTTATATAACACATTGATAATACTGTGTTAATATAATTTCAACAAGGCATAATATCCTATACAAAGATATCTAACCACTGAGCTTTAACATTTGGACCACTAGGGGGTAAACAAATAAGAATAACCTTACCCCAAATTCACATGTCTTCTAAGTTCCTGAGATTCTGAGTTTTTATAATTAGTAATGTTAGTATTACTTAAAACTCCAAACTTCAACAACTCTCGTATATCTCTATTCCCTCTCTTTCATACCTCAAATGTGCCCTTGTGACTTTTTTAGTCAATCAATTCTTGATACTTCGACCAACTCAACTTCTAATTGACTAACAATTACCTCCTTCAATAAATCCTTTGAAAACAAACTGGTTAAGTCAATTGTTGACTCAACTATGGTTCAGATTTAAAAAAACTCAGACAGGACCATTAAAAACTATTAACTCACAAAATCTAACAAAAAAAGACAAATTGAAAGCGCTTAACCAACATTTTTACACCTTAAGAGAGAAAAGCAGATTTATCTCAATCTAACAAATTCAACAGACTATCTGGCTTCGACCCCTAGCTGTAACCCTCTCCATGAACCCAAATATTTACCCTATTAATTCTTCACTACCTCATAGCAGGATGGGTGTTCTAATAGGATGAGATCAGATGGGTTAAAGGGCTTTCTTCACCTGAACCAATTTTGTGATCTTGTGATGTAGAATCTTTCAAAAGCTCAAGGTAGAGATTTTTGATAGATAAGGACCTGGCTGTGATATTTTTCCCAGAGAAGGGATGGGATAGGTTTGGCTGGCTGTAAAAGGAGTTGGCCCAATTTTTTTTGTGCATCTACCTTCCTTCTATTCAATACTAGTCTATCTAATAGTGTATCAAAGTCAGTCTCGACTTGGCATTGTTTTCAGATAGAAGAGCTTAGGAGAAACCCCAGAAGGCAAATCGGGTTTCAAATGCTTTTCTTGGATCTAATTACTATATACATCAGGGCAGTATTTGAGCTGTTAGTAGCTGTAACAGAATCGCTTCCTGTGTTTCTGGCTTGGCCCAAGATGAATCCAATAAAAAAAATACTTAAAGCATTGTTTCATGTAATGGCTTTGTTTTACAGATACTTTAATTGCCTTTCTGTAGGTTTTCATCCTGTGACAGCATTCAGTGTTTAAAATGCGCCTTGCTTTTCCCCTGCTTGCAACTGTAGTATCTTGTATACTACAACTCCGCCGCCCTCCCTCCACCCCACTCCCAGGTATGCTGTATCGCACTAAGATCTTTGATATCACTTAATTAATCATCAGATCTCAGTTCTGTTGTGATCTGAATTTGTTTCGATTTTATTTAGGATAGTGACTAATTTGTAGATGCTTTATAATGCTTATACCCATTCATCTGTTGTGCTTATTGTGATAATTGTCTAATTTAAAAACTAAGTTGTTTTGCTATCTCATATACTTTTAATAAGATGGTTTGACTCCTTTAAAAGCCAGAGGACCTGAAATTCTTCATAGTTTTAGTCTTAAGAACTGACAAATACAATTTTTAAAGAATTTTCTAAAATTATGCAGTTAAATGTTAAAACAGAGGTCCAAAAATCTGATCTTAAGTGTCATTTAGTTACTTCTAAAAGAACAAACGTGGATAGATTATTGCAAAAATTAGAACACATACCAATGCTTTCACTGCACTGTACGTTAAGTTTTGTTTACAAAGAAATGCCTCATAAAATGTTAGCAGCTTGTCAGCAATGATTGCTGAACCCCTTAAAGGCAATCTACTGAATGTCTACAGTAACTTGCACAGACCACAGTAGACAAATTGTGTTTTGCTTTGAAGTTTAGTTATCACAAACTCGAGGTGTATTTTTAATGTGTGACTGCTGAGAACAGCTCACCACTGTGACAAGTTTATTTCGACAACGCACAACAGATTTCTATTTCAGGCTCAATGCTTTCAGGGCTTCATTTCTGCCAGCACATAACAGAACAGAATTTTCTTAAATAAGAAAATATGTAATAAAACCAACAAAATCATTGATAATAATGTGTAAGTAACAATATATTAATTTTCAATCTCAGCCTTTAATTAAGTCATGCAACACTAAAAATGCAGTATATTTAAAAATAGATGGTATTGTTTGATAATATAATAATGCTTGCATTTGATGTAGCGCCTTACCTTGTCGTCGAAGTTTCAAAGCGCTTCACAGGATATACTGTAAAGAGTAATGACTGTGTGTTTCGTGGATGTAACGAGGCACATAACTGCACACAGCAGTATTCCACATATTCGTGAATTGAGCGACCACATTTTTTTTGGAGGAAATATTACCCCCAGAAAGCAATCTGCCAATTGACTAACAAGCAAGTTCCTACTTAACTGCTAGGTCAACAGAAGAGTGTGGAATAAGGAAACTTGCCTAAGGTTTCATTCTTTAAACCAGATAATAGCTTTCTCTTTTTCCCCTATGCTTCAAGGAGAAAGAAAGGAAGCCCAATTGATTTGGACACGTTTTATACTGGCTTTAATACTTGCATCTGACGTAGTGCCTTACTCACTCACACACGAGAAGAACTGTATACAGTACTCTAGATGCGTCCTGGCCAAAGCACTCGATAGCCTGAATACGAGCCGAGCGATCTTAATTGATTTAGTAATATAGTTCAACATCCTATTGGCCTTGTTCACTTGTTGGGCCTCAGATTTACACTTCACTATGGCAACAGACTAGTACATTCATTTATTCCAAACTATTTAGTATGTTTAACACTTAATCTCCAAATTATCTATTATTGGTCAGATAGCAGCTCCCTCGCTCAACCCATTGAACTGCTAGAACAGGCAAACATGACTGATAACATCTCATTGAAATCTCACTGCACTTCAATCTCACCCCAGACTGAGTTCATACTTGCAGCACAATTTTCCAACCCAGAGATGAGATCGCTATGAAAGTGAGCCAAAATGACATTAAATTGATATTTCGTATTTTGCAAATCTTAGATATTTGTATACAACAGCAACAAGATTACATCTGTCTAGCGCCTTTCACGTCGGGAGGACTTCTAAGGCGCTGGACAGTGTACAGCATTTCAGACTCGAGTTGGGGTTGGGGTGGGGGGAGAAAGAAGGGGAGGGGAAGGGGTGGGGCCAATCTCATGGTTGAAGAGGAGTGACTTGAGGCGGGACCTGAAGGAAGCGAAGGAGGGGGTGAGGTGGAGTATATGTTGCTTCTATTGCTCATATGGGATATCACACACCCGGGCAGACAAATCTGGCATTGTCTGGTTTTAGGAGTCCCACAGCCGTGTTTGGTCCACATTGAAACGCATGAAGTCAAGCTGTTCAGCAATGTTGCTAATTTTGCCCATCGAAAGTATTGGTTTTGGTTTTAAAATGTGCTGCAATGATCTTCTACAACAGCATGGTCCAGCAGGTGGCACGTGGCCAGCGCTCTGGCAGGTAATTTTATGCGGCCTGTGACCATTTCCACCATTCCAACTTCCACTCCCTCCCTGGTGAGTGTCCTCCAGGGCAGCAGCAGGAGCTGGACTCAGCGCAGTCGCAGAACCTTTTCAATCCATGACCGTTTGTGGAACACTGCTGTGTGCAATTGGCTGCCGTGTTTCAATTTGTGCCGTGTTTCGCCAAAAATATACAAATATACAGTCAATTCACTTTACTTCTGTGAAGTGCTTTGAGATGTCCAGAAGACGTGAAAAGCGCTATATCAAATGCAAGGATTATTATTACTGCAATCTTGACAGGAAGGCAAGTGCGTCTCTTACCAACCGTGTTGTTAGCAACCAACTGCCGGGTCCTGTGGCTGCAGATAATGAGCTGAGTTTGGGGTGGGGGGGGGGGGCGGGGGGCGCGGGAGGGAAAGAGGGGGATAGTGGAGAGAGGGATTGAGACAGGTAAGAGGGGAGAGAGATGAGGGGGAGAGAAAGGGTGGGAGGGAGTGGGGAGAAAGAGGGGTGCAGAGAGGAGAGAGCATGTGTGTAAGAGGTAAAGGGGGAGTGAGAGAGTAGGAGAGCAGAGAGATTGAGAGAGAGTGGCAGAGGGGGAGAATGTGAGGTGGAGAGAGGTGAGGTGAGGGAGAGAAAGAATCAGAGGGGGAAGATTAAGAGAGGGTGATTGAGAGAGCATTTGAGAGGGGATAATGTGGGAGAGAGTGAGGGAGAGGGAGAAGAGATAAGGAGAGTGGCGAGATAGTGATTTGGGAGATGGAGTGTGAAAGGGAAGAGTGTGAGAAGGTATGGGAATTGAGAGAGTGCCTGAGAGAGGGGTGAGAGAGAAAGTGTCCTTCATTCTTCACCCTCTCTGCCCTCCACCCCCACCGCCCTCCGTCCCGCAGGATCAAAGCAGTAAATACTTGAGCCCTTGCTTCCATGAAGATTTATTCAATAAAATAATTTTGGCAGGATGCAAGTGACTGAACTGCCTTCAGTACATACCCCAAAATAGGTTGACTTCTGAACAATAATTTCCATTTATTGAGATAACTGTAGCTGATCTTTAACTGCATATAATTTTTGCCACAACTCTCTTCCAGATATTATAGATGGAGATTTAATATATATCTATATTCCTTATTGAAAACACAGAGTGGTCATACCTTAGCAAATGTAACAGTTTGGGATTTTAAGCTTAAAATTAAAACTTTAAGTCAATTTAAATGCAATTGGCTGCCACGTTTTGCCCACAAATATACAGTTAATTCACTTTACAGTATATTCTGAAGTGCTTTGAGATGAATCAAAAATGCAAGGATTATTGTATTATTTGGTGATTACCTGGTTTCACCCAAATTGGAAAGAGAAACTATTGATCTTGACAACTACACAGGTGCCAGATTATGTTGCCTGCACTGGAAGCTATGCAATTTTTTTTAAAGACTGATGGAAAACAAGATCTAATTCACTCAAGTGCTTAAGCCAAGAAAATGCTCTGCGGCAGTGTGAATGCTGTTGGAAAAGTGGGTCACCTTGTAAAGCCATTTACTCTGTACCATTTCAGTTCCTGAGTAATTGACAGTTGGCAAAATCCTTCACTGTCTCCAAACCTGATCTGCTTTAAGGAACTTCTAAATATATAGAAGGTAAGCCTTTGCAAATTCAGATGTGGATCTCAATACTAATAGAAATAATTACCCACATGAGGGTGTGCCTCACATCATAGCCAGATAACAAAACCAACTTGCATTTATATAGTACTTTTCACTTGGGGCAGTGTCTTGGAGCGCTTAACAATAAGCGGAGCCTGTTGCCGAGCTAGGTGGAGGGAGGAGATGACCGTAAGCATAGATAAATTTGTATCTTTGGAAATGATGGTTTCAATGCCCAGATGGTGAGAATTCAATGAAAAGGAAAAATAAGCTACCATCAACAATTACTAGTTGTCTTGAGTTGGAGTTTTGATATTACCAGTATTTTCTAGAATAAGTGGAATATCCAGTTCTATATTATGAGAAAAAATTACAGCACTAATTCAATACTGTTAGTGTCTTCCCCTAAATATAGTGAGTGATAAAGTGTATATTGTCTCAAAGTTCTTAAGTTAAGGTAATATAAATGTTTTCAATTTGATAATTTCTTCTAAATCTTCATTTAGTAACTAGTGCAACTGCAGTATTGTGTTTCCTGGTGTTGTGTCTCTGCCGGTAATTTTAGAGTCTAGAATTTATTTTTTAGGTCTGGCCATTGGTGACGTACCTGATCATCAACCCATTGGGATAGTCCTGACTGTTCTGGGTGTAGTAATATTGGACTTCTGCGCAGATGCAACAGAGGGACCAATTCGCGCTTACCTGCTAGATGTGGCCGACACTGAAGAACAAGATATGGCACTCAATATCCATGCATTTTCTGCAGGTTTGTGGCTTATAATTAGTTCAACAGCATTTTTACAGCCTTGTGCAAAGTATAAAAAAAAATAATTTACATAACACTGGTATATTTTACAATTAGTACAATAACTATCCTGTAGCTCAGTGATTAGATACTGGCCTGAGAGACCTGGGTTCGATTCCAGGCAGGGTGAAATGTTAGGCAAATTTCCTTACTCCACATGCCTCCGTTTACCTAGCAGTAAGTAGGAACCTGGTTGTTAATCGATTGATGGATCGCTTTTCCGGGAGTAATAATTCCTTCAGAAAAAAATTGGTCACTTCAATCCACGACTGTTTGTGGGACACTGCTGGGCGCAATTGGCTGCAGTGTTTCAACCACAAAATATAGTCAATTCACTTTACAGTATTTCTGTGAAGTGCTTTGAGACGCCTCAGTCGTGTTAAGGCGCTATATCAAATGCAAGTATTATTATTATCCAATTGATAAGTCAGGAAGGTTGGTCTGCCATGTGTAATGAACAATGTCTTATGGACCCACCTGACTTTGCCACTCTGGTGTATCGGAGTAATTTCAGGTCCAGTGAAGAGAGACCCAGCTTACTTCTGTTCTTATCTCTTACCTACACAAGGTTAATTCTTCCTGTTAAAGTTGAACGGTGTATAAATATTGAGATTCAAATCTGATCCCATGTTAGGTGCTCAACCAACTGAGTTACCAGAATATTATGTGTGAAATTATTTCAGGAGGAAGGAAGTGAAACCAATCTCCTACAAGATTTAGATATGGGTCTAATGGAGAACATTAATTTGAACATACGGTATCTCAACAATTGACACAATTTTTTCAACACAAACATTAGAAATGGGACTGATGACATTTTTCTGAACCTACTTATAATATCCATTTCAGTATATCTCCTGGAATGTATTCCACTACTATAATAATAATACTTGTATTTGATATAGCACTTTTCACGTCCTCTAGACATCTAGGGTTGAGGAGCTTGAAGTAGGTGAGAGAGGGGAGAGTTTCTAATGTACCTCAATTTCAACTTGCATTTTGGTAACAAATCTGAACTCATTCAAAAAGGTGGTTACAGATAGAGGTTAAGTGTATTGTTAAACTTGCTGTTCTATTGGAGATATGTTACATTCACCTTCCATCTGCATGCTTTCTCCCCAGGTCTGGGCGGGGCTGTTGGCTATATGCTGGGTGGTTTAAATTGGACACAAACGTTTTTGGGCCAGATCTTCAACTCCCAACAACAGGTGCTCTTCTTCTTTGCTGCCATCATCTTCTCTGTGTCTGTCGGTTTACATCTTTTCAGCATTGAAGAAGAGCAGTACAACCCTCAGCAAGTCCGTATTGATGAGGAACCCAACCCCAACTCGGATATTAAATTGAATGGCAGCTTCCCACCTCACCCCAGACTGGACCTGATCCATGAGGATGGGCATTACTCAACTTCAATTTTCCCTGATGAAACCCGCTCAGAACAAGATCTTGATATGGACTTCCTGGATATAAATATTGGGAGGAGCAAAAGTGATTCTGTTTTGCACATGCCAGACGCAACAATAGAAGTTGAATCAGAGCTGCTGTATCTGAGGAATATTGAACCTTCTATTTTTCAGGACCAATATGATAGTAGTACTTACCAGTCTACCACAAGCTTACCCAAACATAGCAAACCTGAGATATCATCGCGCTTCATTCACATCCCTTCCAGGGAACAGGAGAGTGAAGACATGCTGCTGGATGACATGAGAACTGATTCTAAAGTGGCAAATGGGATAGTTGATGATTTGACTAATGGTAATGTCAATCAGATTGGAATGAAGTCATCCACCACCTGCAATTCCATGCGCAGACGAAGGCACATGTTCTACCGGCAACCATCCTACACTTTTTCGTACTATGGCAAAATCGGTTCCCACCGCTACCGCTTTCGTCGTGCCAATGCCATTGTCTTGATAAAATCCTCACGCAGCATGAATGACCTGTATGACATGCAGAAGAGACAGCGACAACGACAGAGAAATCGCAACCAGAGTGGCCTGACCAATTTAAGTGGAGATACCGAAAGTGAGGAAGGAGAAACCGAGACCACGGTGAAGCTTCTATGGTTGTCCATGCTGAAAATGCCAAAGGAGCTCTTAAGACTCTGTGTGTGTCATTTGGTGACGTGGTTTTCTGTGATCGCAGCTGCAGTGTTTTACACAGACTTCATGGGACAGGTTATATACGGTGGGGATCCAAAAGTAAGTTCCTATTTTAATTTGGTTTATATTTTCCTTATTTTTCCTAATAGAACCATAAAGCACAAAACAAGAAAATGACATTCTGATCCATTTGAGCCTATTCTTCCAATAAACTTTCTGTAATACGCCTAGGACTGATATGGAGTATTCTTGTTCTGCCTTATATTTCTTCTTTTAATCTAAATTTAACCCCGAATTCAACTGGATTGGCTGTGTATCTGTTGCTTATTGGATGTTGCTGTGTAGATTTTTGTTTGCTGTTTGCCAATATAACACTCACTTAATTTCTAATGCATTTGAAGCCATTTATTTTCAGATGAAAAGTACTAAGTAAATGCAACTTATTAGTAGTTTTATTATTATTGTGGGCTGCAAATTTAATTGCCTGAGATAGATGAATAATCACAAGTGTCTGAGAAGAACAAATTCCTTGGTTTCTTCCTCACCAAAATTATCCAAAATTTCAGGGCATACAATATGGTCAGTGTTAAATGATATGCTGGGCAACTGCATTCCATGGGTAATGTTTTATATTGACATAAGTTCTTTGATTAGTAAATCTTGACCAGGTAGCTATTGGTTATTTCAAAGCTACCAGTTGAGTTCACATGAACTGCATCTGATGGGATTCTAAAAGTTTTGAAACTCCAGTCTTGTGCAAGGTGAGTATTCTTTGGCTGATTTGAGGTATTTGAGAATGTTTCACAACTGTCACCTGGAGCATTTTGTACACATAGAAGGGATGGAAGCTCATACATGTTTGTATAAACCCCTGATAAGAATGAGCTAAGCAGGTTGTTCAACCTGATGATGTCAAGAGGTGAGGGAGGGACGGTAAGTTCTTTAATAGAGCGAGTTTTGATGTCAGCATTCACAATCTCTGAAACTTATCTTAGACAAATCAAAGCAATTTCACATCAGTACCATTCCAAATAAGGGTTATGTTTTCATAAGCAATAAATAATCATCTATTGTGTTGAATCCTTTACAGAATAAGGAAAGCCAGAGTATGAAACCATCACGATTTAACAAAACAGGATAAAATCCTAATGTGCAACTTGACCTTTGCATTTATAATATTCAGTCTCAAAGAATGTCAAAACTAGAAAACACTATGAAAACAATTTAATGGACATGATTTGTGTTTAGGTCACATTAGGTGTTTGCACTTATTTTTTATGCATCCTTGTTCTGTTTTCTTACAAAACACTCTTATGTGAAAGTGGATATTTGAATGTGTTTTCAGACAGATTTGCAAAGCTTCATTTACGGGTACACTAGTTTAAAGAATCATTCCCACAGTAAGATGGCCCTACTGTTTCTTCTCTTCTTCCCCCTCACCCCTCCCCAATACAAAAACTTTAAAAAAAAATGTTCCCTGAAAGAAAGCAAAAGCATAACATGACTCCCAAACAATCAAAAGCTCCTTAAAAGGTCTAAGCTGAGACTGGAAACTTCCTGGGAGGGAACTGCAAGGGAAACTGCTCTACATGATCTTATGCCTAAAATCACCATATTGAGGGAGATATTGTTGAAATATTCCAATTGTTGCAGCTGCAAACACTAAAATTCAAGTAAAAATGTTTGAGTTCCTTTAGATGGATTCATAACACAACATTGTTTAAGTAAGCAACTTTTTTTTTCTCTCTCTAGGCTCCTTCAAATTCTACTGAACTTGGAAACTATAACACTGGTGTGCAGATGGGATGCTGGGGCCTTGTCGGTTATGCTGTTACCTCTGCCATCTGCTCAGGTTAGTATTGAGATCAACTGTGCTGGAAACAAACTGTTTGTTACAGGTGTCTTGACATCTGCAGAAACCTGTCACCATGTTTAAGAAAGAGTACTCAAACCAGAGTGGGAGTTCCTCATATGTATGCCACTTACAAATGGAAATTAACCTGTGTCTGGAATGGAATGCCTCCATGGAGGGATGGAACTTGCTTACATAATTCTGGAGAGTTTTAGGTGCAGGTTGGCAAGAGCAAAGGCTTTGTGACCCCAGTGTGTGTGTTTGGGGTACTTCTGGAGATTAACCAGTTACAACTGCAAAGCTTGCCATTCAGAGCACTGTCTGTCAAGGTTCTTGCTGCTTGTTCAACTAGGACTGCCCTATCCTTTAAGGCTTTGACTTGTAGGATTAACATAACATGTGGGAGCAGGAGTTGGCCATTCGGCCCTTCGAGCCTGCCCCGCCATTCAGTCATGGCTGATCTTCTAATCTAACTCCAGCTAATAACCTAACACTGCCTTATCCCCATATCCCTTAACCCTTTTGCAATAAGAAATCTATCTATCTCAATCTTGAATATGTTCAAGGACTGAGCGTCAACAGCCCTTTGTGGTAGCGAGTTCCATACATTCACCACTCTGAGTGAAAAAATTCTTCCTCAACTCAGTGTGAACAGGCTGGCTCTGATTTTAAGTTTGTGACCCCTGGTTTTAGTTTCTCAAACCAGGGAAACAATCTCCCACTATCTACTCTATCATGCCCTTTGATCTTATAGGTTTCTATAAGATTAACAGGAGCTGAGTCGGAAGAATCCCTGCCCCCAGTGACTGGTATGGCCCTACACGTCCTGCCGATGAGCCAGGCTGGCTGGTCTGTCATCAGCAGTGACCTGGAGTATTGTGGACCCACGCACCTGGCTCAGGAATTGGTCTACCTAGATCAGTGTGATGCATTCAGCCTGGCGAGTGATTTTATCCGGCTGAGACCATTTCCAGTATTCCAACATCCGCTTCCTCCCATGGCAGCGGCAGAAGCCAGCGGTTGAGAGGACGCAGCGCGGAGACTGGAAATAATACTACTGCAGTCTTTATCAGGAAGGCAAGCATGTCTCTTTACCAACTTAGCAACCGCCGGCTCCTGCCTCTGCAGATAGTGATTGCTGCACGGCTGATTGGCAGAGAGAGGGATTGAGGTGGGAGGGTGGGAGAGAGAAGGATACTGAAGGATATCAAGTTAGTACTATCAGAACATTGGTGTAAAGGAGCACTTAAGTGACTCACATTAATATACCCTGTCAATAATCTTTTTTTTCCCCCTCTGACAGCGATCTTACAGAAGTACCTGGACAACTATGACTTGAGCATCAAGGTTATCTACATACTGGGAACGTTGGGTTTTGCAATTGGTACTGCCGTGATGGCAATTTTTCCAAATGTTTATGTAGCAATGATAATGATCAGCACAATGGGAATAGTGTCCATGAGTATCTCATACTGTCCATATGCTCTTCTTGGACAATACCATGAAATGAAAGAGGTGAGCAGTATTTTCATTTGGTTTCTTCTTTGTAATTATTGAAGTGCCAAGTTTAAATATGTAATGTTACTAAAATAACAAAGATGGGATGCAAAGAGTTTCATTTGCATCTGAAATAGAGTCCTGTTGCATATTGGTTTGAGGACTCGTCTCGCAAGTGAGAGGACCTGGGATCGATTCCCAGGCAGAGAGAAACCTTAGGCAAGTTTTCTTACTCCACACACATCTGTTTACCTGGCAGTAAGTAGGAACCCAGTTGTTAGTCAATTGGCAGATCACTTTCCAGGGGTAATAATCCCTTGAAAAAAATCATAATAATTTGACTGGGGCAATGTTGTGCGTAATTGGCTACCATGTTTCACTCACAAAAATATACAGTCCACAGTATAGTCTGTGAAGTGCTTTGAGATGTCTCAACAATGTGATAAGGCTCTATATTAAATGCAAACTTTATTTATTAAATATCCAGTTGACTGGATTCTGTTTCTGACTGTTTAATATTATATTTGTAATATACTACTAATATACATTTATGTATTTTTAATATACTACAATGAGACTACTAATCTCATTGTTTTGGGGGGATTGCCAGGTGCAAATTAACTGCTGGATTTTCCTCCATTGTCAATATTCAGTTATTTTCTAATCAGTCTGATTCTGTATAGTGATTGGGAATGTTTCTTTTCCTTGCTATATAAATGAAAATTGTAAGTTAGTCTCCAATTACCAGAATGATAAAGGATTCAGGAAAATATTCTTCCATTACAGTTGTACATCTAAGTGCACAGATTACAATTTAGATGGATTAGAACTCCATTATTGAACTTTGCCAGGCAAGCTCAGTCTTGTGTTGCTGGAGTGTATGATGCCTGATAGCAGATCTTTGACAGTAACTGTGTAAACTCAGAGATAAGATTTCATAGGGCAGATCATCATCATTCAGTCTGGTCAGATTAACAATTGTTTTGTTTTGCAGTATATACACCACAGCCCTGGGAACTCCAAGAGGGGCTTTGGGATCGACTGTGCAATCCTCTCTTGTCAGGTTTACATCTCCCAAATACTGGTGGCCTCGGCACTGGGTGGTGTGGTGGATGTAGTTGGCACTGTCAGAGTCATCCCCATCGTAGCGTCTATTGGTTCCTTCCTTGGCTTTTTGGCTGCCTTACTTCTGGTAATGTATCCACACGATCAGGACGACACTAAAGAAGAAGAGAATCAAATGGCTCTCACGGGATCTGCAGAATGCAATGGAAAAAATGGCGAGAAGCCGGTGGTCTTGAAGCTGACTCGTAAAGGCGCTGTCTCTGAAGTGGACAGTGAATCAGCTGTTTGAACATCCATCAGCAAAACATTCCAAAATTGCATGATCAAAAATGTGTAACAAATGTCCTGTCTTTGTCTACTGTGACTGCAGTCTTAACCAACTGTGCTTTAAAACAATGACCACATTAGCTTCTGGTAAAAGCCTGACTCAGCAGTCTGGTATTGTGGAGATTTTCTGTAAGATCAGACTTGTTTTTGTTTCCTTAAACACATTTGCTGATTTCACTTTCCAGTGGCTATAGAGAGAAATCAGGTGAATAAGTTAACATTTAGTTCATCCAAAAATAATGTTTGGATTTTAAATCTGGCACCTTAAAGGCAGCTGCTGAAATATTATTTTGCTGTTTATATTACAACCTTTCAGAGGTCCTACTTTTAAGCCTGGACAAAACTAGCTTACCCTGAAAGAAAAGGTTAAAACAAACTTGACCCAGGTTCATACATCATTGAATTGCAAAAATTTCAGCACAGAAAGAGGATATTGCCCCCAATCTACCTGTGCCATCCTCACCCCCCCCCCCCCCCCCCACTGGAGTTATAAACTTTTAATTCCACTAACGCTTAAATGATCAAAATGAACAGAAAGATCTCATCCAGTTGTTACTGAAAAAGTAAAAGTTCAGGCCAAATGTTCTAGTTTTCTGGTCATATGAATGTTTTCTAAACTTTATTGTGGAGTAATTTGTTCCCTTGTAGTGCTTGCTGTCAGCATCTTACTAGCTATTCGAATAGGCAGTGAACTCCCTCAAAAGTAATCTGTAATTGATTTTGGTTATGATGAGATGACCTGTCATGTTCCTCTCAATACTATTTCTGGTTAACATAGAATTGATTTCATCTTGTTTTACTAATTTATGATAACCAAAATACCAGTTTCCTGGTGCTCCACTAAAAGCTTTACATAGCTGAAATCAGAATATGTGCAATGTGCCTGGATTGGCAAAACCTTAGCTAGGAATATGTTCCCTCAAAGCTATATTTGTGTGTGCACACGTGGGGATTGGTCTCTTCAGGGATGTCAATTTATAATTAGTCAATAATCTGATCTGCTTTTAAATATAAATAATTATCTAGATTTAATTTACTCTATTTTTAGTTGATGTATTTTACCAATTTTTTTTAGAATTTTGAAAGAAGCAGTCCTAATGCAATGTTTTCTTTTCATTAGTTTTATTTTTCACCTGAAGGTTTGGGTGAAGAAATTTCTGATATAAATACTACAAGGCAATGCAACTCTTATTAATAATAAAAAAGGCTTAACACATCAAATAATTATGTAGCTTCATACAGCCTACTTATTTAATTTGAATTTTATTGACAAATCTCCTATACTTGTACTGTGTCACCTGTAGATGCCTAGGTTGGCTGCTGATTATTGTGTTTGTTCTGATTATATATTTGCTTTTTCAGCCAGGATTGTAGTCTATGCTGCTCTGTGATCACATCACAGTCTGTGTATTTCTGACAGAGGAGCCTGTCAATTACCTCCATAGAAAAGTGCTTCCATTTTTCAGCTGAAACTTGCCCAAAGGTTGAATGTTACTCTGGCTGCAATTTGAATTCAAGGACCCTCTGATTGGGATTCACTATTAGAACTAATAGGTTAGCAGCTTGGCTATGATGGAGGAATTTGAATAATGCTTGAAATTATGGCTGTAACAAAATGAGAGCTGCCCAAAATTATGGCTACATTTTATCACTGATCAAATTCATGAAGCATGGTGAAAGTGGTGCCATTCTTGTGAAGATTGGAACCACAAAAGCTTGGTTTTGATCAACATAAGTCTGTCATGGGTTGAATGAACTTGTCTGGTACGAGCCAGAAGAATTCACCATCAATAAAAAGCATAGAGTGGAGTGTCATTATTGCCCACAGCCCTCTCTTCAATGATATCAACTGGAGTTGTGAAGCTGGAAAATTTACAGCTTTATTTACAGCCTTGATGCTTCCAGTACTGGCCTGAGCCTTACTCAGCTTGGTTTGGGGTGAGAAATACAATTCAGAATGACTTTGTCACACTAAGTGATCAGAATGAAGAAAAAAGACTTAACCTCTGAGTTTTTTTTGTGTGTTGCGTGTATATAAATCAAACAGATGTTGCAATAATTCAGATATCTACCTTTGAACGCATGCAGAAATTGTGCTGTGTCATCACCGGGAGAAAATAATGGCAATGTGTATAAATCTCCTGAACCCCATCAGTCAATCCATTATTATTACTTGAAGTGTGGATGCAGTGCAAGAATGTAAGTGTGCAAAGACACCATCTTGCCAAAGCCAATAGCTGATGACAAAGGAAAGGACACTGTAGGAATTCTGTAGTTCAACACAATGGTTTAATTTCATCAAGATGTTGAATTAATACTAAAGCAAAACTCTTCATGAATGTAGTCTTTGAATGCTAAGGTGATCCAACAGAGAAAATTGCACAGTTTTACATCAAGATAGACTTTTAAACGCATTTTTCACTCCTATTTATTTTGGAATTGTATTGTGAAATGATTATTTTTGTGTATGTCAAAAAGTACTACTGAGAACTTAGCAGACCTGTTCTAGCAGGATGTATCTAAACATTTGGGTTGGGTGGAGTTTACATGCTGTTCTGAGCTCTCCTTAAGATTTAAAGTTTTTGGTTTCTCACTTTTATTGTATAAAAATGTCTAAAATGCAAAATATTTGATGTTTTTCAGAGCTTGTCAAAGCCTTATGTCAATGCAATGGCTTATCTTTTGCCCAGAAAATCTGAAATGACAAATGTTTTGAACAAAAATGTTGGGATAGTAAATGGTTTTCTAATTGCCAGATCCAGGTATATTTTATAGAAATGTCAATTCATTGGGAATTGGGGGAGGGAATGAGAGTTCAACAAATATAAACAATTGATTTTAAGCATAGTAAAAATGACCAGGATTTGAATTTCTTTCAATGCTATGACTTGTTCATTTTATTTGATACAAAAGATGGTGCCTTGTTTGCAGCACCTCCTGAAGATACACCCAATGGAGAGAATTCTAGCTCATTTTGTGGGAACAGGTCCCGATATGATTGCTTCATGTTCTGCACCTTCAGATATATAGCGGAAGTAATTCTAGGTTTGGCACATTCTTTGTTTTAAGTTCAAACTCTTGGCGTATTGTTGAGGAAAGCCTCTCCGCTGAGCCAGCGAGTGTAAAACCATAGCAAAGGATTTGATATTACCCCCACGTCAAAACTTACTGAAATATGCCAATGATTGCTCCCAATTTGCACAGTGTGTATATGGTATTTTCTGTATAAGAAATACCACAACTTGTCTCAGATCCATGGTTTTAGGAGGTTGGTGTCACCTTGTAACCATTGAATGGCATGGAGGGGAAAAAATCAAACCCTCCAATTTGTAACAATCGCTTATATAAAGACATCTCATTTTAAATATGGTTCCATGGTGAACTGGCCAAAGTAAACTGCTTTTTTTAATCAACTTATTAAGTTGGGGCGTAAGTAGCTCTTGCTGAGTGGAAATATTAAATGTGTTAAACACATTATGCTGTTAGTTTCTGAAAAAAAAAGGGATGAAAGCAAAGAATGTTTAAGAATGATAGACTTTGTGTGGCAGCCTTTTTTATTTCTATATTTTCAAGCTATTTGTTCTGTTGGAAGGATTTAAGCATTTGTTGTTGCATGAAAACAGAGGCTGTTTGACTATGTTCAGCACTTTCCATTTTGACTGTGTACTCTTGGTTTGATTTTTAAAAAAATGTTTAAAAAGAGATTCTATTCTTCCACCTACAGTGTTTCAGTATATTCTCTATTTCATGAAGAATAAAAAAAATCAGAATATTTACAAATTTGTTGTTATTCCTCCGCAAAAGGGAACGAGTTGGATATGAATTGAGTAGATGGAAGAAAAACAATGTGGTGAATCATAAGAGCCACTTAAGTGGTTGAATCAGAATAAGGACAGTCGAGGACTGGAGCGAGTTCACACAAGGGCAGGAATCCAATATTGTTAGGACTATAATGAGAAGTTCACAACATCAAGGGATGGAGAGATGGGTCTATTTTTGTTTAAGCTTGAAGATTTATTGAGGACACTTGGTCCAACTTCCCACCTGGTTCCTCCATTCCCATATTCATTTGATGTTTTACATTTATCTAATTGCCTTTTAAATGTTGCATTGTTCTGCTTCAATTGCTGCTTGTAATAAGGAATTCCACATTCTGTAACAGTTTGCATAAGTTCAATTTCCCATCCTTTCTGATAACCAACAAACAGCAATTTAAACTTTTCCTGGCATGCAAGATAACAGCAGGAAACAATTAATGCTGGGCTTCGAACAAGTCCTTAAAAGATGGAAGATTACCCACATCTAGATGACTGGAAATTTCTTTAAAATGACCTGATGGGATACAAACTCTAGCAGTAAATGGTTGAAGAAATGAACAATTATTCTTAACCCAGTGTCTTAAATAATTAGTTTCCTATTATACTCCTGCCCAAACATCCACTCTGATTATGCTCATTCTGCAGCCCCTCTGTTATATGGACCAGTGCACAGGCAGAATTGATAAACAACTGGACAAAAAACAGCAATCAAACTTCAAGTGAGATTGGTACTAAATATTTTAAGTATCTAAACTAAAAAGGGTATGGATAAAGAGCAGAGCGTCTGGTACTGGATTTGAAGATTTCTCACCTCAGGTAAATGGATCACTTAATAGAATTGCCTTTATTAAAAGTTAGAACATGACCTGAGGAAAACTTTTTTTTAAAATAAGTAGTATACATAACTTCAGATGTTAGAGAAAATAAGATTTTGTACAAAATACAAAAACATTGACAAATATAAAACTTTGCATTATCAATTGAGTGCAATCAAAACAAATTATTTCAACTGTGAACCTTTAATTAAGTGCTCAAAAAAGCGATGAACATTTCCTAGACATAGGAATGGAAAGGGAAGCGTTTCATGTGCTCTACTTCATAGTCTTAAACAATGTTTTTTTGTTCCAATTGTGTCCATTAATTAGTTTTTTTTGTGTTAGGCCCGGCCGCGCATGAAACAAAATGGCTGACCTCTGTTGCTGCACAACTGGCTGAGAGACTATCACTTAGTATCAGCAATTACCTCAGAAAGGAATCCTTAAAAGGTAAATTCTAAGGAAAACTGCTAACTCCACAAGTCCCAGCATTAAGATATAAGTAGCCAAACTGCTGAAATCAAAAGAAAATCTGTTCATGGTGAAGATATCTACATTAATATTTGCCAATAATTAAGACTGAGGCTGAAAAGAAAAGGGACCTAGATGAAAAGGATGAATAAGGAGGTCAAAACTAAAGACTAAACAGAAATATTTCAAAATAAAAAGAGATTAAAAAGAAATAGTCATACAAAAGACAATGGGTGAACTAAAAGGATTAATAAACATAATCAAGTGAATAATAAACATAATCAAGTGAATAACAAATTCCTTCAACACTTCTATAGTATTCAAAACAGTCAGAAAACTGATACTTATTAGGTTACTTCTACTACTTTCACAGAAAAAGTTAAATACCAATTTTTGCATTTGATCAATGCAAGGTATTATAATAATACTTGCATTTGATATAGCGCTTTTCACGTCGGGAGGATGTCCCAAAGCGCTTCACAGAACACACTGTAAAGTGAATTGACTGTATATTTGTGGGCGAACGCGGCAGCCAATTGTGCACAGCAATGTCCCACAAACAGTCGTGGATTGAAAATGACCAATTTATTATTGTTTTGTTTTTTGGAGGGATTATTATTAGGCTCTGTGTGGAGTAAGGAAACTTGCCCAAGGTTTCGCCCTCTGCCTGGAATTGAACTCAGATCTCTCGCTTAGAAAGCGAGTGCTCTAACCATTGAGCTACAGGACTCCGATTATTGCACATCCATTACTGTTACTTTCATAGTAGAAAATATATATTTTTACATATGTGATAATGACTAGTTAGCTCTACAATATACTCATTAAACAATGCATATCTCACAAAAGATTATCTGAATAAGGAGGTATAAACTACAGACATGTATGCAAATAAGGATTAAAAAGATGCAATACAATCGCAGGGTTCAGATGACTTGTCTAACTCCCTCAGCTGTGGTTCCCATTTAGCAGCTTCTCCATTAACAATTCATGATTCTGGATTCATATTTAGCCACTGCCTTCTCTCAAGATATGATGTGACGGTCCGTACAGCATTGTCTGCCAAATTATTTAAACCACAGAGGGTTGCGATAATATATGGTATCCACTGCCTCAGAATACAAAGACAATTGAAATATTTGAGATAAAATATTGAGGGGTATTAAGAAACATGGGGGAAAAAGACAGCTAAATGGGATTAGAAAGAATGGCCACAAATTAATCAAATGGTCAAATGGCCTTTTGGTGTTCATATAATACACTGTACTTGGTCACAGACAGCTGATTGATACAGCAAAATCCATCTCTATGCACTGGTCAGGTTTTTTTTAGGTTTCAGCTGATAACTTTTGATGCTGAAAAAAAGTTTTAAAGGTGTTCAAATGGCAGGAATAAGTTCATTGGTGTAAAATGTGATATTTATTCAACGTGGTCCCTGTTATCAGTGAGCCCTGGAGATGAAAGACCACAATTATAACAACATATGCTAGGTTTGGTTTCACAAAAAGCTGCTACACTTGACAGTAATGACAGTCATGGCCAAAAAAAAAGGCTTCAAGAAGTTGTGACATAAGGCATAATAAAATACAAGATCTTTCTTTCTCAACATCTGTTTTGAATTGTTGTTGCCAGGGGTTTAGTCCTGTAAGATATCTCTGTTCATGTGCAAATACAGAAAATAAATTCAGTTTTAATATTCATGTAGAGCTACAAATCTAGGTTTTCCAATAACATTAAAACCTGAAAATACAAGGCACTGTTTTTAAATGTAAACATTCACTTGAATGGACAGAATAAACTGAGAGGTTGGCCATGTTAATTCTATTTCTGTGTCAAGAGTCTGATGGTAAAACATTTTCTTTGAAAAGAGGAAGATAATCTAACGCCTCACACAAGGTATAGCACATTGTATACACCTTGAAGTATACCCTTTTCTGCTGAAACAGAAACCTGTTCATTACAGTGGCATTAGGGCCAAAATGTACTAAACATATAGAAGGAAACTATTCCACGTTCCAGATAGCAACCTTGCCATCTTCTCTGCCAGCCCCACTAAGAACATATCTGTCTTCAGCACAACATAATGCTCGAACCATGTCCACGTGAGCCACCAATTCCTTTTCCACAGTGTACTTCTCTGCGTCGATCACATAGATCTTTCCCTTCACTTTGCCCAATCCTTTTCCTCCGATCCAGATCTGAAAGATTAATAAAAAAAACAATGGTTTTAGCAACTCAACTCACGTACTTGAGAGCAACTGCAGTCTTAAACGTGTATGCAGATATAAAAACACAAAATACTGTAGATCTGAAAACAAAAACAGAGGTCACTAGGACCACTCAGCAGATCAGGCAGCATCTATGGAGAAAAGAAAGTGAGTCAACGTTTCAGGTCCACGACCCTTCATCAGAACTGGTCCACAACCCTTCAGCCATTCTGATGAAGGGTCGTGGATCCGAAACGCTGACTCACTTTCCGTTCTCCAAAGATGCTGTCTGACCTGCTGAGTGATCCCAGCAACTTCTATTTTTGTATGTAGATATACGTATTATGGCCATCAAGCAAGTACTGTATTGGGTGTCCTTATTTTGAACTCATATGGGTTCTAATGCAGAAAATCAGCTTCCGAATTAAAAAATAATTTAAGACAATTCCAAAATTCCACAAAATCTTAAATTGTCAAGAAAATGTCTTAAGCCTAATTGCATGAGGAATTTCAGGCTCCAAGTATTTTGAAATTCAACTCACACTTTCTGAATAGAAGTTCCACATGCTCCACGGATATTGTGCATTTGATGCAACAAAAATATGTAGGGCTCTTGGGCTAAAACAGCCTGGAAATCACATTGCTATATACTCTATACCAGGGTTGTCCAATATGTTAGTCACTAGCCACATGTGTTGAATTGGGAATTTAGATGTGGCAAAATTGTATTTTTGATTAGTAAATAAAACATTTGCAATAGACATTGTTGTTGGGCATGTGATCTCAAAACCCATATTCAACAGGGCATACACATGTGTACTTTGATCATTTGTGCATTTGTTGGTAAAATAGTAAGATGAAAACCAGCATGTGCGAGTGTTTTGGATTATTATGTGTCCTTTACTTCCTTGGTTACTGATTATCTGCTAAAATGATGTGTAACACGGGTTAAAACACCAAATTTCAGCCCCACGGAAACACCAGTAATATTGTGTTGAGAGCTGGAGAGTATGACAGCTGCCAATCATGCTCAGTTCAATGAATCGGAATCACCGTTTCAGGCCAGCAGAAGAAAGCAAGCCCAGCCAATAATGAGCAGCTCCAACAAGGCTCATCACGGCAAAGGGCAGCCAGCTGCGCTTTAGGTGGAGAGCAGGGTTGGGTCTGGCACATATCATGAAAGAGAAATAAAGAATGCAAAGTTTTGCACTGAATGGTGATAGATGTGTTAAGTTAATATACATGCAAACATACAATATACATGCAATGTACAACAACAACTTGATTTATATAGCGCCCTCCACGCCGGACGGCATCTCGGAGAGAAATTTACAGTTTAGGATCCCGGGACCGAGCCAGGGGGAGGGGTGGGAAGGTGGCCAAAGGCGCGAAAAGAAAATGTATGAGTGTATGCAAGGAATTTTCTGCTAAAATTAGTGCAAGTGATGTCACACCTGTGGTTAATCAGTGATTTCTATTGCTTTTCACATTCTTCAAGCATTAAATTAGGATTAGAGTTATTGAGGAGTTACCTGTTTTTTGACAGACATAATGCAACTAATACTGGTGCAGTCTTGAAGCTGAATCTTCTGACAGGGTATGGACAGATTATTCATGTCCCAAAAGCAAACCTCTCCTTTGTCAGCAGAAGCAGTCACCAACTGATTTTTCTGATGAGAGAATGAAAGTATAGATTATAAAAAGATATTTTATCAATGTAGTTGTCGTAGGCTGATGTGACAAACCAAAAGGTCCAGATAGAAAGTAAGAACCATTTGCATTTTTATACAGCCTTCACAGTAATGACTGTTGGGTGTAGACTGGGTTTTTATAGGCAAACATGACAGACATTTTGCCCAGCAAGATCCCAACAGAGCCACAAAATGCATAATTAATTACTGTAATCTAGAGAATTGTTGGCCACGGCACCAAAAGAAACTCCCTTCTCTTTTTGAAGAGTATCACAGAATCTTTAACAACTACTTTAAGAATAGGCAAATGGGACTTCAGTTTAACTGAAGAACGACACTCTGCACAATGCTGTGCTCCCCCAGTGCTGTAGTCTACCAGGTTCCAGGTCACTGGACAGTCAAGGTTTTTTAGACCAGAGATGGGAATGGGGGTCAGGAGGGGTGGGAGGGTGGCCGAAGGTATGGTCGAAGAGGAAGGTCTTTAGATGGGAGACAAGAGAGGGTGTGAGGTGGAGAGATTGCGAGAGAGTTCCAGAGTGTGGGGGCAGAGATGCTGAATGGCCAACCGCCATTGGTGGGGCAGGAAGTGCGCGGGACCTGAAGCAGGCTGGTGTCTGCTGAGCCGAGGGAGCAGACAGGCTGATATGGGGTTAGGAGAACCCCATATCATCTGTCATCTGTCTTTTGGTTCCTTGACCAAGTAGTTATTCTTCAGATGTGTTAGTAGCCCAATTGTCAGATAATGTGTGAAAAGAATTACAGCTGAACCTAATCCTGTCAACACACATGTGCACTTTCTATAGTCAGTGGAAAATAGGAAAATGGGTCTTAAATTTCCCTTTTCTAGCCATGGGATGTTGAGACAAATTGTTTCAACTTGGCTTGAAAATACTATTTTAAAAAATAGTTGCACAAAAAAAACCTTTAGTTGGATTATGTTTTTGTACGTCGAAGCACACTTACAAAGGAGTTGCTATAAGGTATTTCAGGAAAATATTGCAACAGTGGGCAATTTATAAAGGGGTTTCTGAATTACAGAAGAGGGTGGTAAGGAAAGAGGTTACATTGACAGAAAATGATCATTTAAAAACAGGGAAAAAGCTAATCAGTATAAAGCGTCACTAACCACATAAAACTGGCTTCCATAAAGTTAGCCTACCTCAGAAAAGACGAGGAAACAGCTGAAAGGATCATAGGTCCCTTTTGGGTCTTCCAACACAACCTTGCGGGAGAGCTGCCCATTTTTTTTCACTTCCAGCAAAGCATCTCCCACACCTAATGAAACCAATACAATGACATTCAAGAACTTGTTTTGAAGTACTAATCTTGTGAGTACTCACACACATACACACACACATACCCACGCACAGGAGAAATATATTTGACATGAAAGATTACATAAATCAATTTTGTACAAATATTTTCACATAGGATATTATAATTGAGGAAATTTCCTTATTTCTGGAATGGGATGTGCACTCTCCCACTGGAGGGACACATCCTGCTTACCTAATTCAAGATAATATTCACTCCAGGTGGGTGACAGCCAAGTTTTGGGGGCTACAGAGTGCGAGTTGGGGTATAGCTGGATTTCAACCAGCTGAAAACAACGCAGCTTGCTAATGAGGACTGTCGAGCAAGGTTTCTGCGGCATGTTCAGCTGGGTCCACCCTACTGATTAGGGCTTTGGTTTGCAGGATTAACAGGAGGAAAGTGGCAAAAATCCCTGTCCCTCTTGACTGGTCTACGCCTTCTAGTCCAACTGGCCAGGCTGGCTAATCTGTCAACAGCAGTATCTTGGATTACTGTGGACCCACCAGACTTAGGACCCATCCTACCAAAACCACCACAGAGGATTGATTTAAATTTTGACATTCCACTGCCAAACACATCGCCTTGGAGCCAGCTCAGTCCCAAGGGCCCGCAAGAAGGATAATTACTAATTGGTCATTTGACATCCGACAACTCATCTTATAAATTTAGGAACAATAAAAATAAGTATTTTAATACTCACAGCACCACAGCATATAATTGTGGAGTTTGATGGCAGTTAGCTTATGACAGTTGGACAACTGAAAATCTGCCTTTATTTCTAATGTGATGACATCCCAGCAAATTACTCTCCCATCCAGACTGCATGAATATACCTGCCTTTGAGTGGAAACATGAGGATTTTCAGTTTTACAAAAATTCAAATGAGATAAGTATAGCCAAATGACAACATATTAAGAATGCAGTTCAACCTAATAATTTTAGTGTAAAACTCGCACGAGCTTCACTTTACACAATGTGTGTGTGTATATATATATAAACTCTACATTATATTAAAAATAGTAAAAATGGATCAGATGTGTTGACAGCCGACGGATACTTAGTTCAGTTGCTGTACCTGAACTTTGACACCCTGTCCTCCAAGATCAAATCAGTGACGTCACTGCAATGTTCGGTCAGCTGTTTGTTGCAGGACATGCTGAGGGTATTGATGATGTAGATAGAGGAATCTTGTGAGCCAATCCAAACCTGGCTCCGCTCCACTCCCAGCATACAGGTCTGCCGGTGAAAAACAACTTTGTAAATCACTGGATTTCAATACAAAAACAGGCCATTTGGCCGAACTGGTCTATGCCGGTGTTTATGGAGTGGAGTCCTGTAGCTCAGTAGTTAGAGCATTCGCTTTGCAAGTGAGACACCTGGGTTCAATTCCAGGTAGAGCGAAACCTTGGGGAAATTTCCTTACTCCACACGCCTAATAATAATCCCTCCAAAACAAAAACAATAGTAAATGAGTCATTTTCAATCCACGACTGTTTGTGGGACATTGCTGTGGCAATTGGCTGCCGCGTTTCGCCCACAAATATGCGGTCAATTCACTTTACAGCATATTCTGTGAAGCGCTTTGAGCCGTCAAGAAGACGTGAAAAGCGCTATATCAAATGCAAGGATTATTATTACTATTATTATTATTATGCTCGACATGAGCCTCCTCCTGTCCTTCCTCAACTAAGCCTTCAAGCATAACCTTCCAATGAATAATGTGACTGGCAATTTAGACGTTATAAATATTGTCAGAAGGCGAACTGCAATTCACAAGAATAATTGATCATGAATGATCATTAAGCATTGTTAAGCAAAGTTCTTTTTTAAAAAAATAATAACTTTTAAAATAGGGAAACTCTGTGCGAAGAGGTCCTAGATTTCTTTGTGTCAAAGATTGAAAATATTGACTTGGCTGCATCCTCCTTCCCTACATCGCTTTGTTCACACCTCTCCCTCCACAAGCTCCTCCATGGTTTCCACTCTACCCAAAGCAGAGACAGTCTTGTTAAAAGGTCACAAACGGCATTCCCCTCTCTCTGTGACCAGGGCTCCGTCTGCCTACTCATCTTCCTGGACCTCTCAGCCGCATTCGACATAATCGGTGACTCCATCCTTATCCACCGCCTCTCCTCCCTCATCCACTGGTTTGAGTCCTACCTAACAAACTGCCTTCACTTTGTCCCTTCAACCATTTCTCCATCCACCCAAGGCGTGGCGTTCCCTGGGGTACGCCACAGGTGGGTCACCAGTGGCATACCCCAGGGTTCCATCCTTGGCCCCCTCCTCTTCCTCATCTATATGCTCCCTCTGGACAATATCATCCGCAGACATGGGATAAACTTCCACGTGTATGCGGATGACACACAAATCTATTTCTCCTCCTCCAGCTGCAACTCCAGGAACACCAATGTTCTGTCGGCTTATCTGGAAGACAATAGGGCCTGGATGAGCACAAACTTCTTACCACTAAAGGTTGAAAAGACGGAAGCCATACTCTTTGACTCCTGTCAATGTCTTCTGTCCTGTGGCTCTGACCTCCTTGGCCTATCCCTCAGACTCACTGAACCGGTGTGCAACCTAGGCGTCAGGTTCGGCCCATCGCTTTTCTTCCTTCCCCACATCTGGTCGATGACCAAGGAATGCTTTCCTCCACATCGCCACATTGCCCGCCTCTAACCATACCTTACCGCAGACTCAGCCGAAACACTCGTGTGCATTTGTCACCACCTGACTCGATTTTTCAAATGCCTTCTTTGCCAGTCTCTCCAGCTCCACCATGCACAAGATCCAGCTAATCCAAAATTCGCCCGCCTACATACTCACCCATACTAAACTTCATAGCCCCATTACAGCCAGGCTCCACTGCGTCCTTCCCTCCAAACGGATCAATTTCAAGATCCTCACACTTATTTTCAAATGCCTCCATGCCCTGGCATCTCCCTTCTTCTCCGACCTGCTTACCGCTATCCACTGCTCAACTGGCTCTGGTCTTCTGCATGACCCTCATGCCCTCCCTTCCACCATCGGTGGCCTCCCTTTCAGCCACTACACCCAAAACTCTGGAATATTCTTCCTCGATTTCTCCACCTTACCCCTTCCTTCCCCTTCTTCAGGTCGTGCCTGAAGATCCTCTTCGACCATGCCTACAGTCACCTGCCTCCTCCCTCTATCTCGGCATCGTTCTCCGCCACTGTCAAGTGCTATCCGCTGTGACGATACCCTGCAGGAAGGGCGCTTCCTGATACAGTGCTGCCTCACTGTAGTCCTGGTGTCCTGTTGACCTGTGCTCATGGAAAGTACAGAACATCCAGCTTCCAGTGCTCCCTAGGTGCACCATGCACAAGATCCAGCTTATTCAATATTCCCCCGCCTACATAATCACCTGTACTAAACTCCGTACCCCCATCACAACAAGGAGTTTAGGGTTAGGGATGAATAATGAATACACCAGCTATTTAGATCTACAGTCAAACCTATCCAAGCAACCATCCCTGTTAACAACCTTCCTGGAACAACCCGGATCATGTACCAACAAAGTCTTACTCAGTGGTCACCATTACATAAAGGCCACTTTGGCCCAGTCCCTAGTGGTTGTTGAAGACACGTTTGACTGTATTTGTGACATTTGAATTTTGGGACAGGATAATTATTTTGACAATTTATAACCATGATAAAAAATACTTTCTCTTCATTGCCAAAAATGCACTTAGATTTATTCTTCAGTATTAATCACAGTAAGACCAATGAACGTCTTTCTTAAATCAATAATAAATGTGAATGACTTATTTCCATTAAGAACAAGTTAAGATTTGTTATGATTAATCTGATGTGCTGGAATGTTGAGCGTGGAGGCATTTATTTATATTACAGTTTACTTTCTCAATTGTATTTCATTGGTCTTTCTGCACTCTCAGTTTAAATTTTACCTGCTACTCACCAACTTTGAGTTGCCCACTTGAATATGATGCTGTTGAATTGACCAAGATACTGCATCAAAAAGCACTACTTTCCCCTCACTTAGCGCACACCATAGTTTGGGATTTGCATTATCATCTCTGTCCATTTGTAGCAGTTGACCTTGACCAACAAAAGGTGTATAAGTAATTCAGGATTGTATTAAGACACATTTTTTTTAAAAAAAGCAGATAACATCTTTATTTGAATTCAATTAACATTTTTTCTAACTTTAAAAGATTATGTTATAAATTCTATTTCTAATTTTGTTGCTTCCCATTTGGTCCTCTTTTGTGAGGAGAAACAATTCAATTTACGATACTGTGGTGTAGAAAGATAATAATAATCCTTGCATTTGATTTAGTACCTTTCATGTCAGTAGGATGTCTCAAAGTGCTTTTTTGTGGGCAAAAAGATGTACACTACCGTATAAAATTGAAACAAGTACATATAAAATTATAGAAATTACGACATAGGAGGAAGACATTCAAACCATTGAACGGTAATAAGCCATAACCTAAGTGCAATGGTTTGGCTCATGCTAAATGTAATGCACTGTTTGGGAAGCACGTGATAAACAGTAAAAGTCACATAAGTCCTATTAGCCGAGAACATGACATTTAGTATGACTTATGTGAAGTCCGAGTTGCAGGCAAACTGTATAAATCAAATAAAATCCAATTTAATCAATAATCTACACTGCGCGTGCTAATTCACAATATATTAGATATTGTATGCAAATGATACGTGTGTATGTGGTGATCATTTAAGACTTCATTTCCCATGATTCAATGAGTGCTGACTAGCCGCCGCATGCACATAAACCGGCAAGCATTTGAATTGCATTGAATCGCGGGGAATGAAGTCCTACTTCATTTGCATCGACAGATCAAGATTACGTTTCCCGTGATTAAATGCGGCCGGACAGTAAGTGCGCATGCGGCGACGGATCATGACGTCATTTCCCGTGATTCAAAGCAAATGGAAGTGTGGGAGTAATGAAGCGTAGGAGAGCGACGTTACTCGTTAAGAGGTGATGAATACGAACAGTGCAAAAGAAATTAAATGGTTGTGATAGGAAACTGAATGGAACGCGGGTGAATGTATTGCTTGGGCGATTTATATAATAATAATAATCCTTGCATTTGATACAGGGCTTTTCAACTGTCCAGCGCCTTGGGACGTCCTCCCGACGTGAAAGGCGCTCTATAAATGGAATCTTGTTGCTGTTGTTGTTTCACATCTTCTAGACGTCTCAAAGCACTTCACAGAATATACTGTAAAGGGAATTGACTGTATATTTGTGGGTGAAATATGATTTATAAAGATAAGAATTATGTGAATTTTACTGCATATTCTTGAAACAGATGCAACAAGCAGTAGATCTTGTGAATTTCTGAAATATTCCTCTCTATATACAGCACTTTCATGGAAATCCATTTTGACAGGAGTATGCAAACAGAGAATTCACTTTTGGGAACTATCTCTAATCATAATAAATGAATGTACAACATAACATTTGGTAACTAAATCTGGATTAATCAGCTTGTCATTCCAGTACAGGCCTACTTAATTTTAATCGTCAACAACACAACAAAAACAACAAAATTACATTATGGAGCACCTTTCACGTTGGGAGGACGTCCCAAAGCGCTGAACAGTCAGGTGTTGGGGCCCGAGCATGGGGGAGGGGTGGTGTAGCGATGAGGGAAGGCAGAGAGGTGGGAGGAAGACCAAAGGCACGGTCAAAGAGAAGGGTCTTGAGACCGGCCTTGAAGGAGGCACGGGAGGAAGCGAGGCGAAGGGACCGTGGGATGGAGTTCCAGAGTGTGGGGGCAGAGAGGCTGAAAGTCCGGCCACCGATGGTAGAGCTGGTCGGGCGGGAGACATGGAGTAGGCCAGAGCCCGATGAACGGAGGGAGTGGGCAGATTGGTAGGGAGTCAGCAGGTCAGAGGTAGGAGAGGGCAAGGCCATGGATGGCCTTAAAGGTGAGGACGTGGATCTTGAACTTGAACCTCTGAGGGATGGGGAGTCAGTGAAGTCAGGCTTGGGAGGGAGTGATGGGGTCACGGAGCCTGGTGCGTGAGAGTACACGAGCTGCAGAGTTTTGGATGATCTGCAGCTTGTGAACGGAAGAGTTGGAAAGGCCGATGAGGAGGGAGTTCCCATAATCGAGCCTTGATGTGACGAATGCGTGGGTGAGGGTTTCGGCAGCCTGATGGGTGAGGCAGTGGTGGAATCTGGCAATGTTGCGGAGGTGGTAGTAGGCAGTGTTGGTCATGGCGCGGATGTGGGAGAGAAAGGACAATTCAGGGTCAACCAAGATACCCAGGTTCCTGACTGGCTTAGTGAGGTTGTGTGTGCAGCTGTGGAGGCTGATGCTGCCAGTGCCTGGGTGCAGAGGTTCTGGCGCGAACCAATCAGGAAGGCCTCAGTCTTGCTGACATTGAGTTGGAGAAAGTTGGCCCACGTCCAGGACTTGATGTCGGACAGGCAGTCGGTTAGGACGCCAGTAATCCTGGAGTTCAGGGTGGAGGCAGAGAGGTAGAGTTGGGTGTCATCCGCATACATGTGGAAATTTACCCCATGTCTGCGGATGACGTCACCAAGGAGGAGCATGTAGAGGGTGAAGAGGAGGGGACCAAGGACAGAGCCCTGAGGAACACCAAACAAGATGCTGGAGGAAAAACCGTTTGCCGCGACGAAGTGGAGACGGTGTGAAAGATAGGACCTGAACCAGTCAAGGACAGAACCTTGAAGGTTGAGGTGGGAGGAGAGGTGGAGGAGGAGGATTGAGTGGTCCACGGTGTCAAAGGCGGCAGAGAAGTCAAGGAGGACGAGGAGGCAGAGGGAGCTCTGGTCACACGTGGTCAGGATGTTGTTTGTGACCTTGACCAGAGCAGTTTCCGTGCTGTGGGCAGCACGGAAACCCAATTGGAGGGATTCATGGAGGGAGTGAGAGGAAAGAATGAAGCCGAGAAGCAATGGCTCTCTCAAGGACCTTGGATAGGAAGGGGAGATTTGAGATGGGCCGGTAGCTGGATAGCTATGATGGATCGAGGGAAGATTTCTTCAAGGTGGGGGTGATAGTGGCTGCTTTGAGGCGCCCTATCACCGAACATTCGTCTTCAAATCCCTCATGCCTTGGCACCTCTCTGCCTCTCCAACCTGCTTACTCCCCAATCACTAGCCACTGCTTCCGCTCAACTGGCTCTGGCCTTCTGCTTGACCCTTGTGCCTTCCTTTCCATCATCAATTGCTGCGCTTTCAGTCGCTACGACAAAACTCTGAAACACTCTCCCTCTATCCCTTGCCCCTTCGTCCCCCCCGCCACCCCGCGCAGGTCATCTCCTCCAACCTTCACTGCGAGGAGATGCTGGATTTCCTTGAATCCAAGATCAAGGGAATTCGCTCCGCGGTCACTTCCCCTCCAACATCCACCCACCTTCCCTTCCCTCCCACACCCCGACTCCTACCCATCCTCCCCTACACACCTTCGTACCCGTTTCCCCAACCTCTGTCACCAAACTCATCCTATCCCTTAAACCCACCACCTGCTCCCTTGACCCCATCCCCACTCCACTCCTTATCTCCCAGCTCCACCTCCTTGCCCCACATATCACAGACATCGTCAACCTGTCCCTCTCCTCTGGCTCTATTCCCATTCCCTTAAAAACTGCCACCATCACTCCCACCTTAAAAAAACCCTCCCTTGATGCGTCGCAGCTATCAAGCTACCGGCCCATCTCCAACCTCCCCTTTCTCTCCAAGGTCCTGGAAAGAGTTGTCGCCTCCCAACTGCGCTCTTTCCTTTCCACCCATTCACTATTCGAACCCCTTCAGTCAGGTTTCCGTGCTGCCCATAGCACAGAAACTGCCCTGGTCAAGGTCACCAATGACATCCTGACCATCTGTGACCAGGGCTCCCTCTGCCTCCTCGTCCTCCTCGACCTATCGGCAGCATTCGATACGGTCGACCATGCTATCCTCCTCCACCGCCTGTCCTCCCACCTAAACCTTCAAGGCCCTGTCCTTGAGTGGTTTAGGTCGTACCTCTCCCAACGTCTCCACTTTGTCTCCACAATTGGTATTTCCTCCGTCCCCCGCACTGTCTCGTGCGGTGTCCCTCAAGGCTCTGTCCTTGGTCCCCTCCTCTTCACCCTCTATATGCTCCCCCTTGGTGACATCATCCGCAGACATGGGGTTAACTTCCACATGTATGCGGATGACACTCAACTCTACCTTTCCTCCTCTACCCTCAACTCCACGACCACCGATGTCCTGACAGCTGCCTGTCCGACATCGAGTCCTGGACGAGAGATAACTTTCTCCAGCTCAACGTGCGCAAAACTGAGGCCCTCCTGATTGGCTCACGTCAGCGCCTCCGCACCTCAGGCGCTGACAGCATCAGCATCCAAGGCTGCACTCTCCACCTCTCAAAGCCAGTCAGGAACCTCGGCGTTCTGTTCGACCCTGAGCTGTCCTTTCTCCCTCATATCCGCGCCACAACTGGCACCGCCTTCCATCACCTCCGGAACATCGCCAGACTACGGCACTACCTCACCCCTCACGCTGCTGAAACACTGGTCCACGCCTTTATCACCTCAAGGCTGGACTATGGGAACTCTCTCCTCGCCGGCCTTCCCGGCACCTCCCTCCACAAGCTGCAGGTCATTCAGAACTCTGCAGCTCGTGTACTGTCCCGCACCAGGCTTCGGGACCACATCACTCCCACCCTCGCTCGCCTCCACTGGCTCCCCATCCCCCAGAGGATCGAATTCAAGATCCTCACCCTCACCTACAAGGCCATTCACGGCCTTGCTCCCTCCTACCTCTCCGACCTACTATCCCCCTACCTACCTGCCCGTACCCTCCGTTCCTCTGGCTCCGGTCTGCTCCACATCCCCCACCCCAACCGCCCTACCATCGGTGGCCGGGCCTTCAGCCTCTCAGCCCCTAGGCTCTGGAACTCTATCCCCCAGTGCCTTCGCCTTGCTTCCTCCCCTTCCTTCTTCAAGGCCGGTCTCAAGACCTTTCTCTTTGACCATGCCTTCAGCTCCCCTCTCGACTCTCTACCCCCTCCTCGCTCCCTCCCTTCCCTCCCCTCACCCTGACCATTTCCCCCTTGCTCGGGTCCTGACCCAACTGTACAGCGCCTTGGGACGTCCTCCCGACGTGAAAGGCGCTCAATAAATGGAATCTTGTTGTTGTTGTTCCTTCCCCATCTTTGGGTGGTGCCTGAAGTCCTTCTCCTCTGAGTCCTCCAATCAGTCATGAGTATTATAAAAGGGAAGATGAATAATTTAAATTTACCTGGTGCGTACAAGAGAGCATTCACTGCCTGAGGACTGGTTTGACCAGCAGATGGATTTATCTTGTGTTTTAAGGTCTCTGAAGTTGTTTTCGGAACCGCTTTAAAATAAATTCACAATATATTAGATACTGCATGCAAATTAAAGCTCATTCTACTCTGTCCCAACAATGTTAATAATAGTCCTTGCATTTGCTGTAGCACCTTATGAGACTGGAAAGACATCTCAAAGCACTTCACAGGATTTACTGTGAAATGGAGTTACCGTGTGTTTATAGGCAAACGGGGCAACCCAATTGCACACAACATATCCTACAAGAAACAATCGACCAATTTTTTTTATTTGAGGGATTGTTGCCCAGGACACTCTCTTTTTCGTCTTAAGTGCTACAAAATAATAGATTATGTGATATATGTGATGGGAAACAATGGTTTGATTGCAAAAGATCATTGGTGTACCATGATTGAGCTCCACTCACCGAACATTCGTCTTCAAATCCCTCATGAATTAGCACCTCCCTGCCTCTCCAACCTGCTTACTCCCCAATCACTACCCACTGCCTCCGCTCAACTGGCTCTGGCCTCCTACCTTCTTTTCCACCATCACTGGCTGCGCTTTCAGTCCGCTACGACAAAACTCTGGAACACTCTCCCTCTTTCCCTTGCCCCTTCCTTCCCCATCTTTGGGTGGTGCCTGTCCTTCCCCTTTGAGCCCTCCAATCTAGGCAAGAAATAGTTGTTATATTCGCCCTCTAATACTTGCTCTTTTCTGTCTGAGCTAATTTACTTGAAGATATAATACAGATAAACGCAAGGTACATATAGATTGCTTTTCTGAGGCAATAATCCCTCCCCCACTAAAAAATAATTAAGAATTTGGTCACTCAATTTACGACCGTTTGTGGGATACTGCTGTGTGCAATTGGCTGCCCAATTTGACCACAAAATATAGTCAATCCACTTTATAATATATTCTGTGAAGTGCTTTGAGATGTCTCGAAGATGTGATAAGGCATTATATCAAATGCAAGGATTACTATTCTCTTTTCCAATCTCTGTGGGTTATTAATGTCCACCTGAACAGGCAGACTGGGCCTTGGTTTACATAAAAGAGCACCCCAAGTGCACCAACCTTTCATAGAAACCAGCTGGCTAAAAAGTAACATATTTTATTGAAAAGTACAGAAAAAAATCTTCTTACCCATATTCTTCATTTGATCAAAATAGGCCAATTTTGAAGCAGCATAAATGGCTTGAGAAGTCTGCAAGCATCCGACAACAGCGTCCATCAGCAAGACATTAGTTAGTGCTCGTTGGATGTATTGTGGGTCCTAAAGATGGAATAGTAAACAAATTACCATAAATGATCAATACATATTTAGGTTTATTCTGCAAATAATTCTCCATATAATTTGTAAAAATAATCAAACCTCAAGGAATTTGTGATGATCAAAAAGAGTCCTTGAAGCTTATGCCTGCTTATGTTCAGCAAGTACCTGCCTGCTTCATGTCCTCCGCCCTATCTGCCCCACATTGACAGACGGGCTTTCTGCTCCTGTTATCTGGAACTCCATTCCAGAGTCTCTCCAACTCGCTCCCTTCCTCACCTCATTCAAGATCAGTTCAAGATAGCTCTTTAACAGCGCTTTCCCGCATCTCTCCAATCTTTACACCCTAAGCCCAGTAGGAGTGTCTGTTCTCTGAGATGTCCTCCAACATGAAATGTGCTTTATAAATATAAATTCCCACAGCAGAGAATTATCTGAAGGCAACTTTACCACTTTGAAGTAGGTTTCATGTAAGAAGATGTAAAACTGTCTCAGATCCAGATAAATGTATAACTTTGTATCCTTTTGGTGAATTATATGAAACTTACTTCCTACCTAATGACTTGTGAAGGGCCATCTATCAGTAAGGTGGCCAATTTAAATTTGCATTTATTCTTCCATTCAGAATTTTCTTAAATTATGTTGACATGTGAAAAAGTATGTTCATCTGTGATTTCTATCAACCAAATCCTGAAATACTTACATACAGAGAGAAGTGCAAGCAAGATCTTAGTAAGAGTACACAAGTCTTATAATAATAATCGTTGCATTTGATATAGCGCTTTTCAAGTCTTCTAGACGTCTCAATGCGCTTCACAGAATATGCTGTGAAGTGAATTGACTGTATATTTGAGGGCGAAATGCGGCAGCCAATTGCATACAGCAGTGTCCCACAAACAGTCGTTGATTGAAAACAGCCAATTTATTACTTTTTTTTGGAGAGATTATTATTAGGCGTGTGGAGTAAGGACACTTGCCCAAGGTTTCGCCCTGCTTTATGGCTAAGAAACAAATAAATTAGAGGTAGATTTTCTTAGAATTAGCAGTCCCATTAATAATAATAATCCTTGCATTTGATATTGCACCTTATCATGTTGTTGAAAAGTCTCAAAACCCACACAGAATATACTGTAAAGTGAATTGACTATATACTTGTGGGCAAAAATTTCATTCGTCATCTATCCTGTTGCTGACCTAAAAAATAGAAAACCTAAATATATCAAAGCATTTCAAACAGAAGAGTATAAAACCTTGTGTTTATCTGCCATTTTTTTTCCAGCCCACATCTCCTTCACAATCAATTGCCAAAGGTCACGTTCAGTCTTCAGGTTTCCTACGAATGGTTCTTTCAGACTGCTCTTTATTTTTAGAGCAGGGATTCGAAGTGGGAAAAACATCACAGACATGATCTCAATCTCCTAACCATAAAGAGAAAACGTTTCAGAGCTCATTCACAGTTTGAAGGAACATATTTCTAAAATTATTGTTGTCAAGAATTGTACAGAATTATAAAGTGTTTCTTGACTAAGACGTGCGTTACATTCATTGCTGAGTCTTCCAGCTCCATTAGGAATTCTAACCAATGAAGTGAACTGCAAGCACCAAGATTCAAGTTGGTTCTCCTCAACAACAACAAAATTGCATTTATAGAGCGCTTTTCACGTAGGGAGGACGTCCCAAAGTGCTGAACAGTCAAGTGTCGGGGCCCGAGCATGGGGGAGGGTTGGTGTAAGGGTGAGGGAAGGCAGAGAGGTGGGAGGGAGATCAAAGGCATGGTCAAAGGGTTTTGAGACCGGCCTTGAAGGAGGCAAGGGAGGAAGCGAGGTGAAGGGACCGTGGGATGGAGTTCCAGAGTGTGGGTGGGGGCAGAGAGGCTGAAAGCCCAGCCACAAAGGATAGGGCGGGTCGGGCGGGAGACATGGAGCAGGCCGGAGCCCGCTGAACGGAGGGAGCGGGCAGGTTGGTAGGGAGTCAGTAGGTCAGAGAGGTAGGAGGGGCCAAGGCCATGGATGGCCTTAAAGGTGAGGATGAGGATCTTGAACTCGATCCTCTGGGGGATGGGGAGCCAGTGGAGTTGGGCGAGGTCTCAAGTAATAAGACCATAAAAACAGAAACTATTGCACGAGGAGGCCATGACATTTCTAAAGACTGGATCGAGATAGACGTGAAACATGTGAGAATAAAGAAGAAGTTTTCATTTAGGCTGCATTCAAACTCTGATCCCATTTTCATTGATGCTTGCGTGTCGCATTAATGAGACACCCAAACAATCACTTTAATTGGTTGGAATTTTAAGTGGTGCTTGTGATGATGGGTGGTGGGGGATAGTATTCAGCAATGAATGTAACACATGCCTTAGTCATGAAACATTATGGGGCAGTGATCTAAACTACTGAGCATTAGTAATGGTTGGTTCAGTAATTCCTAAGCATTACCTGGATGTCCCTGAATTTTGCAATCTCGACGTAACCAGGTCTTCCCTCAGTGAGAAGAAACAGTCGTTTCTGTGTCAATGCAATTTTTCCAACACCGTAATTGGTCTTCACAGAAGATGACAACTTGTAGACGGATTCATTTTTGTCCAGGTGCTCGATTACTTCCACAGGTAGGATGACATCTTGAGCCTCAGTCTCAGACTCCTTCCAGAAATTATAGAAGTATTTAAATGTTTCAGGATCAATCTGTTTCTGATGCCCTTAAATAAAAGGAAAACAAAAGTTACAATAATGCCAGTGTTAAAGAAGGATCCGACAATCGATACTCTCAACAAAATCAAAGGAGAAAATGTTGTGGTATCACCCCCACCTCCCATGTTCTTTGAATCTTCAAAAAATTTGCACCAGGGGGTCAAAATGAAAACAAAGCAATGAAGCCAAGCAAAATGTAGCTTCTCATTAATGCAACATCCAAGCAACGATGAATATGAATGCTTCTGAAAGAAATTGGGTAAAAGACAATAATATGGCATAGAATGCAGAGAAACCAGTGTGCAGTGTTAAGTTTAATCCCCTCTTGGATGCAATGCTGTTTAGACAGATTATTGGGGTAAAGTGTCACACAGAGACAAGTATTCCTGAAATTTCTCATGGTCTTGGCCTTAATCTAAGACCATTGTCTTAAAATTTAAAATCAGGAAAAATTCTGAAGATTCTCATACAGTTTGAATTTGGATGCCGTTTCTTAAAAATTTAAAGTGAAGTTAATTTCCAAAATTTTGTACAATCTTAAATTTAAGGTTAAGACCTTGAGAAAATTCAGGCCTCAGATCCTTTACACACAAAGAAACTAGGGGGGAAAAAAAAGTACAGCTAAATACATGAAACAGCCAGAATCAGAACTTGAAAGCAAACCTAATAACAACTTAAATGTCTATAGGTCATAAATTCTGAAAACAAATTACATAATATAGTAAAACTCACATTAAGGCTTATCTTTATAAATTGTATAATTGTCTTAAGTCGTAAATTCACCCTAGTGCCATTCAGTTTCCTCTCAAAACCACTTAGATTTCTTTACACTGGTTGTATTTTATAAGCAAATCATCTCCTAATTTGTAATACCGCTCCCCTAATCCTCCATTAGTCTCAGACTTACCGGCTGCATTGAACTGGGGAAAATGACGTCCTGACTCGTCGACGCATGTGCACGTACCAACTGACTGTATTCAATTGTGGGAAACAGTCTCGATTCAATGATGCATGCACAGAAGAACTTAAATTTCCCGTGATTAGGGTGATTCCACGCTTGCCGATAAGTGCGTATGTGGCGATGGGTAAACACGCATTAAATTGTGAGAAACGTAGCCTTGACTAGTCCTTACCAGCTGCATTGAATTATGTGTGCGCAGTGTAGATTCTTGATTAAATTGGATTTTATACGACGTACAGTTTACCTCTAACTCGGATTTCGCACAAGTCATTAAATGTTATGGTCCCAACTGATATGATTTATGGGAATTTACTGTAATATTTTACAAATGTGAATGTACAACTTCTAATTTTATTGTCGAATACATTCTATTCCTTTCCTCTAGAGTACCACTCAAGAGTAAGTAGGGTCTTATGTTTAATTTCAACCATGCTCCTCAATTTCTCTGTTTAACTCACAAAATAATTCATTGCAACCAGTCATGTCAAGAGAGACCAGGAGTCTAAAATATTCTATCTTCTTAGACATATAACTTAAAATCGTCTCAAAATTTAAGTTTATGCAAAATTTTAGAAAGTAGCTTTAATTTGGAACCCCATGTTGAACCTTGCTGGGGACATCTTCCTGACATGAAAGGTGCTATACAAATGTAATTTTGTATTTTCGTTTGTGCTATGCAGAGAACCATTGCCAAATTATGAAAAATTGTTTTAATTCCAAATTCCAAAAAGTTTTCTAAAGCCTATCATCTTAAGGCTATGAATATGTTTTTGTTTCCCCGGGTGGATTAGTTTTATTAAAAGGTGTTTCCCCAGAGTCACAATAGAGAAGGCAGAATCCAGTGTGGGGTGGAGGGAAGGAAGAGGAGAAAGAGAAGAATTCAGACTCCTCTAAACCACAATATACAGCAGGATGCTTTACGATGGCATCGGTCATAGAAGAGCTTAAGAGAGCGGAGAAAAATAAAGGTATTTCAAAGTAAAGAAGGGATAAAGGAAGTCATAACAATTGTAACAAGATATAAAAATATTGATTAACTTGTGCCATGCTGTTAGCATCAGAAGGGTATAGAACAACAACCACAAAATGACATTTGTATACGCCTTTCATGTCAGGAGCACATCCCAAGGCGCTGGAAAGGAATTAATTGTAGAAACATCAATTCTTCTGGTAATTCTCTATCAGAGAAACAGTGTGAGATTTGGCTTTTACCTACTATAGAATCCAAATTCTGCAAAAATTAAAATATTGTAGGATTTCTTCCCTACAATTTTTACGTTGAAGCTGTGATGTTCTAAATTGGTTTAGATTTTTAGATTGTTTTTTATATTTATCAAGTTGGCTCTTAATGTATAACTCATTTGGGGGCAGAATTGAAAAACAAGAGATTGGGAATTAAACCACTAGTAGGTTGGAATTTAATTAAAATGAACAAAAAAATTGCACAAACATACTAAACAAACAACTAACGAACCTGTGCATTTATTCATAAGAATATGATTCTGTTAATTTACAAGCTTTAATATGGTAACTTTTCTGCACGTCAAGGTGAGGCATGCAAATGCTAGAGATAGATACAGATAATTTACCGAGCAGGGGTGACCTGGGTCCAAGAGCCTGAATTGGGAAATAACCTATGTAAAATGGCTTCTCAGTAGCAATGCCATTTAGCATTAGCACTTCTTCAATAATAGAACAGAATTTAGAAGCAGTTTTAATAATAGTGACATTGTGTTACTCCCTACCATAAACAGAGATCAGCTATTGTATTATCTATTTTATAAATTTTAAACAGTTAAATAGATGTCACATTATATTTACTTGTTGCTATGGTTCAATTCTGTTGCCATAGGTAATTTGAATGTTTGTATTTTAGGACTATCTCTTGTGAATTCTCTATATTCTGATATATCTTAAGGGAACATAAAAAAGCAGCATGAATTGCAGTTAGTATGGTTAGACTTTGAGACGATTCAGCATTACATTCTGCTTACCAGTCTCGGAGGGTAAGTAAAATATAGATCTCGAAATCACAGTAGGCTTTGGGAATTGCTCCGATGTCAAGCCATAACAATCAGAGTTGTTCTTTTCAGATTTAAGTGTTGGAGGTCTAGGAAAGTCTTTTTCAACCACACCTGGAACAATGTCACAGCTTCAAATAAAGTCAACAAAATTGAACAGAAAGTAGAGAAATATTTTTAGTGAAGGGTGATAGGCTTTAGAAATCAAAGTACTTGGAAAATCAAGATGTTTTGAGGTTATTAGATGATGAGATCAGCGTGACAAAGAAATCTTTTGGGATGTCACGAGGAGACGAGAGGCCAGATGGACCATTGATCTATTCCTACAGGATACGATTATGTATTGATAAGGTGATAGCACTCAAAAACGAAGTTCTAACGGTGTTGCTGCGTTTGTGATACCATGAGTTTTACATATTATAAAACTCTTGCAGTTCCAAAATTTTAAAATACAGCGCAAAAAAGGATGCATTGCATCCCCACTCATGAGCATCCATTGTTTTTACATGATTGTCGGAGACGACCTGAAGTAAACACTGCTTTACTCCCTTATAGGCAATGGGTCCACTTCCACACAAACGACAACCAACTCTGTCTCTTGGCCTGTACCCTTGATTCCAGGACAACTACTATTCTGTCTTGAAAACATCAAGTCCTGGATGAGTTCTAATTTTCTTCAGTTCAACGTTGACAGGACTAAAACTCTCCTGCTTGGCTCTTGTCAGCACCTTCTCAACTTAGGTACGATCTACATGGTTACTCACTTCAACTCAAAGAGTCAGTGCAGAACCTCGGTGTCTATTCAACTCTAACTATTCATTAAACCTTACATCCTACTCTCATTCACTCTGCTTCTCCCCCAGCCCCATCTCTGAAACATCATCCGTCTCTATTACTACTTTTTACACAAGCTGCCAAGACAAGCATCCATACTTTAATCACCTTCGAGCCCCAATACTCAAATGGCCTGCTCACTGGACTCTCCAGCTTCTCCTTACACAAGTTATTGACCATGCAGAACTCTACAGCCCTGGTCCTCTCCCACAACAAGCTCATCTACCCCATCCTCACTTGGCTCCACTGGTTTGCCATCGCCCAGGGGATTGATTTTAAGATTATCGTCTTTGATTTCAAATACCTCCATACCTCTACCCACCCTACCTCTGTGACCTTACCTCAGCCAGTCCCCCTGTTCAACAAACATAAGCCAGCATCATGTCCAATTTCTAACTATCACCACCTTTCACCTCTTCAGCTCCCCCTCCCTCCAGAGCCCCCCGCCCCTCTATCTCAGGCTCCCAGTCAGTCCTGTGAAGTACTTTCAGTGTGAAAATATATAAATGAAAACTGCTATTCTGTACACGCGAGAATGCCTTGATAATACTGAGTGAGTATTACTTTGACATCAAGGTGTTTGCGTAAGCAGGAAATATCATTTATAAAGTTTTGCGATGTCCACTATCCAGGAAATGCTCCTACAATTCAGGTGACTTTGATCCTATATGATTTTGTCATTCTGCCAACATGATTTGAGTGACAAAGATGATAATAATCCTTGCAAGTGAATTGACTGTATATTTGTGGGCAAAACGGAGCAACCAATTGCACACAGCAGTGTCCCACAAACAGTTCTGGATTGAGTGACCAAATTATTATTTTTTTGGGGGGGGATTATTATCCCCGGAAAAGCGATCCGCCAATCGATAACAACCGGGTTCCTACTTACTGCTAGGTAAACAGAGGTATGTGGAGTAAGGAATCTTATCGAACATTTCGCCATCCTGGGAATCAAACCCAGGTCTCTTGCTTGAGAGGCGAGAACTCTAACCACTGAGCTACAGAACTCCACAGCATAATCAAAAAAATCTGATAGCTGTTTGCTCACATACCTCTTGACATGTTGTGATACCTCCATGTTTGCTTTCTTAAAAGAAGTGACATTAAAAGCAGTTTGTCAAGCGTTCTGGGACACTACCCTGCGTGAGGAGTGCATATTAATGTAAATTGTTGTTGTTATTAAAATAAATTGTATTTTTGTTAGTTACCACTAGGTGGCAGTATGAGCTTTGTTAAAGTGTAACTGGTGGTACTCCCATTCCAAATGGGAATTTCTGTGTGAAAGGAATGCATGGCACCCTCAGCCTGGTTTGGATACCGGAGCATGGTGAATGGTTTCCACATGGTCAGACACCCAGCTGAAAAAAAAGTGGTGTGGACATTTCAGTATCAGGTAGTTTCCTATTTTCCAGTTGGATGGGGAGGTGAAGGTAACTCCTGGTATCTTTCTCATGGTCATTCGACTTTAGAAAATGAATGAAGGTAGGCTATTTGACCAAGGAGAGCACAGCCAAGTTGATTCCTGTCCTGCCCTGACCTGTAAACGCTCTGGGACTCTGTCCTGCATGACAGGTGTGATATAAATGCAAGTTGTTGTTGATATATGTTGTGCAATTTTCAAGAGGTGACAGTGGATGTGAAAACCGTGAAAACCCCATCTGATTTTTCCTTACACCTGCCAATGGGCATTAAAGTCTGTAGCATTGTCCCAATTGCTACTCCATGTCGAGATCAGTTGGTGCAGGGAGACTGGGATCAAACCTCCAACCTTTTGGTGTATATAGGTTGGTGCTGCAGCATTGATTGCATTTATTCATGGCCGTTGAGGAACCCATAAAATTTGTTCGCATGATTTTAAATCAATACCAACAGCAAAATGTTCAGAAAAATCACAAGCTACTAGTTTCAACATACATTTAGTCTTGCTTTGATTCATTTATGAAAATGGGTATGGACAAGAAATGAGTTAAGCACAACACTAACCAATAGTTAAGGCTTCAAACAGCCGAAGTATGGTGTCGGTGTCCTTCACAATTCCAGATTCTTGGATCCGTTTCACAAAATCCTCCTGATGCATGTGCGTTTTCGGCAGCTCAAACGTTTTGACCTGATCATCAGATCCTGTCACATCTCGCTCTTTCTCTAACATTATGCTGATAAGCCGTTTCAATTCTGGTTTCTGGTTGGCTTGATTGAGCTGATCTGGAGGCATTGCATAGATCACTTTCTTCACTAGTTCCTTTGGGAAAATATCAAGATCAGTCTTGTAAAGGTTTTGGAAGTCTAAGAGAGCCTGCAGAAATTTTCCCAGATTCAAATAGGCCAGTCCCCGGAGATAATAATACCGAGCCAATAAGCTTGAGCTTTCTGACCCGACTGGAGGATTGATAGCCCTGTTGAGGAGGTTGATGAAATCTTTATACCATGACATGACAGAGGAATAATTCAGTGGCGACTGGAACTCTGGTAGTTTGAATATTTTTACTAATTTTTTGTTCATCTTTATGGCTGAAAAAAAAATACATTTTCAAATGGATGAGAGTTGTTCGATATATCTCTATTGGATCTATTTAGGAAATAACATTATGGGATATAATACATAGGTAGTTTGGAAGATATGTGCACACGACCGCTAGGAAGGTGGAAGTTGAACTAGATGGACCTTCAGTCTTTTTTTTGCCAAGCATTTCTTATGATCTATTTACTTCTTAGTTATTTATGCTTTTGCAATACATTAACTATTCATTCCAAGTTTACCCTCAAATTGAAATTAATTGGCTATTCATCTCATAGTTGTTGATGGAAAGTTGCTGGTACAGATTAGCACCATGTTTGCCTATAAAACATTCCCTCATTTCTAATCAATTTAATTTTTTAAGTGCACAGAGATATTCTTTTATCAGCTATATAAATGCATAAAATAAAAGTTATTATTAATACTGTATGATAGTCAGTTAATTTAATTAAATTTACTACTTTTCACGACTTAAAAACCATCCAATGAAAACTACCATTTTCTAATAGAATAACATGCATCTTAGAAAAAGTTAAATATTCCATTTCAATAATTGTTTAGGGAAATAAATATTTAATATAATCTTTAATGGTTCTTATTACCATTTTCAGGCTTGTACTTCCTCACAGTCAGAGGAGAGACAGGAAAATCATGGAAAATATCCATTGGTAAATTTGGCATGCTTGCTGCAAATCGTTTAACCATCATAAAGTCATTGTTACGTTCTCTTCTCAAAGCTATCTCTTCCATGGTAGGTCTCCGGGGGCTATCTAGCATTTTCATCCTAGAACAGTAAAATGAAATGGTAAGATACTGCTCATCACAAAACGGGGTATAATACTTTGTCACTGCCCAGATGAAAGGCTTAAAGGAATTGAGGTTCAAAGAAAAACACCAAGATTCTGCACGTTGAAGTGAGTAATTGGGAAGGATGAAAGCCTGTAATGAGAAAAAGCTAGCAAGAGCCAACTTGTTTTTCCAGACAGTCAACCTTACCAATATTTCAATAGTTTTAATAGGCTAAAACTGCAAATATGGCCTCAATAATGAACTGTACAAGGCAAACTGCCTCATTAAGCCAAAGACTGCAAATCGTGTATGTCAATTGAAACCTAAAATTCAATTCCAAACCTATGGACAGAGTCCAAAGGTATACTGCTAAAATAAATTCTACCTTTCTTTGAATTTGTCTGGTTTGATTAAATCAGGTGTTAATTTTATGCTCTATATTTTATCCATATAATTTTTCTTAAATTGTACATTTTTAATCATTACTTTTTACTTCAGAAATATTACCTGTCCATTTCAGAGCAGGTGCGGAGTTCCATCTGTGTGAATGTATCCATCCTTCTGCTCAAACGATCTTTAAGGAACGAATGGAATATATAGGTCTCCAGCACCTGCAATTTATAAAAACAAGTCTATTTTAATATGTTCACATTAATATGTATTTTTACAAAACTGATCGTGATAATGCAACAGCATCTGACAATAATGTCAAAACTTTTCAGCCTCCGAAAACGCAGAAGCATCAAGAGGATTTTGTTAAATAAATGAATAGTATATCTAGATCAAATTCAAAATTTAGAACATTCAAATGTAATGTTTAAAAGGGAGATGGATACGTAGGAAGTAAGGATATTAAGGTGTGTGAGAAAAGGTAGGAAAATTAGATTAAAAGATCAGTCATGACATATCAACTCAGCGAAGCAGACTTGATGGGTTGAATGGCCTCTTCCTGTTCCTAAGCTTATGAATTTTAAAGCTTCCTCCAATCTAGGATAGGAAAACGATTAAAACTAACAAAATCACAAGGCTGAATCAGACATTGACCTCTGGAATGTTTTAACTGAATTACCATTTTCTATACAAGTAGCAGTCTATTTTGATGTCAGTAACTTGAAGCAGGAAGAACTAATTTTTGGGTTAGCTTGTGATTTTCTTACGTTTATAACCATCTCCTGTTTTTGCATGTTTGCTTTACACACAATCTTTCTATACCTACTTCATTTAAAATATATATACCTCCGTATCACATCACTTTACAGCAATAAAATGATGAACGCTCATACATCTGTGAATCATTTTTATGTCTCAAATTATACAGAAATTATTTTGAAATGATCTTGAAAGGTTACCTTTTTGTAAAATGGTTGATCAGAAATTGTCCTCGTCTTCAGAAATTCATCACTGTTAAATACTCGATATTCATAGTTAAGATAATCTGACACATCCCTACAACAATAGATTAATTACTATTGAGTATTGCAGTTACATTTTGAATATTTAATAGGTTTTCTAACTGACTGCAGAAACGTTACATTCATGACAAAATGTGAGAGATGGTGGTGTGATTCTCCCCCTCCCCATTCCTAACGAATGAGGGAAAATTCTGCCTTTTTAAAACTAGGTAATTTTTAGTTGTTTAGTTGTGCAAAATTAAAATAAAACCAGTGTCCAACTCAGGAAATCTGCTTGAATACATTTGATGGTCTGTACTGTATAGCTCACATTAAAATATTGTAGTTGGTAATTCTCAGAGTCTAGTCTATTCACTGCTACATGTAAATTTACAAACATTTACAAAAGTTCAAGTGACAGTGGAGGCTGCAGTGCATACCTGAAGATATTAACAATTAACTCCAAGGACATTTCCTGAATTTGAGAGTTAAGATTCTGTTGCCAGCTCCTTCTGCGCATATGTAAATCTGAAATATCTGTGCTGGAGCCCAAATGCGAGAGTTCCAGATCATAGTGCATCTGTAGACTTTCAATCCTGGGCAGATTTGGTAAGAATACATTTTAAAAACAAGGTGGATTAGTTACCCTTTCAGGAATTTTTGAGAAACATTCTCTACACACAAGATTTGTTCACCTCCACTGATTCAAACAGCCCTAAAGGTTTTGCATAAATTCAATGCTCATACAGCTTAAATATGGAAATCTTTTCCTTCAGTTATTTCTACTGAAAGTGAAATATGCTATGACAGTTTTACAATACTCAATTTCTTATTCTAGAATTTTGGAATATTTTGGGTGACAAAATTGACTTACCGTTGTACAAATCGTTCTGCAGCTTCTAAAGGAACTTCAGGGATATCTGGTTCAGTGTCTGTCAAATTTGAGCTTGTAATTGTTCCTTTGTCAATGTTCACCAATAACAAGCCTTCAAGTTCCTGTGTAAATAGTTGAATACAAAATAATTAAATCACCTTAATTCTAATTTCAGTTGTTAATTGTCCAATAATTTTATTGCATGAATAATAATCCTTGCATTTGATATAGCACCTTATCACATCTTCAAGACATCTCAAAGCGCTTCACAGAATATACTGTAAAGTGAATTGACTGTATTTTGTGAGCGAAACGCGGCAGCCAATTGCACACAGCAGGGTCCCACAAACAACCGTGGATTGAGTGAACAAATTATTCTTTTTTTCATTTATTTTTGATTTGAAGGGATTATTAACCCTGGAAAAGCATTCTGCCAATCAACTAACAACCGGGTTCCTACTTATTGCGAGGTAAAGAAACGTGTGTGTGTGTGTGTGTGTAGGAAGGAAACTTGCCCACCGTTTCTCCCTGCCCAGGAATCGAACCCAGGTCCTCTTGTTGGCATTAAAAAGTATTATTCTTCATATTAAAATAATCCAATCAGGTACTTTCCTGTATTTGTTGATTTAAATTAGCTTTCTAAATTAAAATCAATATTGAGTGTATGTATATTTATTGCTCTGTGTGAGACTCACACACTCAGATCCATTCAATACACTTAAAATGAATCCAAGCTGGAATTAGCAAGAAAACAATGCAGAGAAAGAAACCTTTTAAAATTCCTTATATTGTTCCAAAATAAACATTGTCCTGGAATTAAAGCCGTTCTCATCGTATTTGTCCATGTTACAGTACAGATTGGCCCTTCCTTCCCACCCAAAGCAAATAAAAGAACACCTGTGCACCTCATAATTCAGCGTTCAAAATCAAGTTTGCGGTACATGAAATATTCCTAGTAAGAGTTTAATACTAACAGAATTAACTTCTTTAAAATAGTCGACATGGCACCCCATGAGGAAAGCTGTTGGTGCCATCAGAAAATCCATCATTCCCTTTGAGAGAATAGGCACGTAGGTGTGTTCCCACTGAAGTGGATGAAGATAAAGCATGAAAGATTCTGCAGTAAGTGTCAACAAAGCCCAGTCAGCTGACAAGAAGACGATCCTCTGTTCTGTCAATATGCAGGTCAGAATCTGGGAAAGAAAAATAAAAAATATTAATCAATTGTGAGAGACGGAATTGAAAATAGGACAAGTATTGCGGTCCTAGCTGGTCAAGCAGCAGGAAAGCTTGTCAGGCAATGCTCTCAGTGGCAAGCTATACATTTTTACATGGTTACATTCCAAAAGTACAACAACACACATTCTGGGGTCACCAAGACTTGGTTCTTAACCAACCTGCACATTTCAAAAGTGCCTTTCACGTCAGTAGGATGCCCCAAGGTGCTGGACAACCAGTGTTTCAGATACAAGCTGGGGGTCGGCATCGGACAGGGGGGTAAGGAGGGTGATGAAAGGCATGGTCAAAGAGGAGGGTCTTGAGAGGCAAGGGAGATTGTCTATTGGTGGCTAGCAGTATTTTGGTTTTATGGGATGTTTATAAGTTTTTGACTGAAATTATATTTAGGATTCTCTAGTTTTCTCTCAAAAGGCTCTTCTTTACAAATGTAATTTTATTGTTGTATTTCCCATGTTTTTCTTTTTCTATATTGCTGATATCCTCCAGTCATCCAATCCCATCTATTCGGTTTTATTTACACTTAGGCTCACTCTCGTGATACTATTGGGTAAGAAATTAGTATATCCAATAGTACCTTAATTTAGATTAACAAGAGGCAAGTGCTTTAGACCAGCCTGTAAGCTGGTTCAGTGCCTCTCAACCCCAGGAAAGAATGGAACCAGGAGGATATTAATGAATATTGATTAAACTGCAGTAACAAAGAAAAATTAGTTGGAAGAGAAACCTTTCTTAACCCACCAAAACTAACAGGCTCAACAAAATGTGCTGATGGCAATGACTATGCGCTGAGATCTGTTCCATTACCTGACCAATGTGGCAATGAGGAAGAAAAGCAACTATTTTGGTTAAATAAAACCAAGTAAAATCCATTATATCAATGAACTGACCATTTGCTCCAAAAATGTAAATATTCATAATGTAAAGTGCATAAAATGAAATGTGAAATGTTATCCAAAGTTAAACATCCAAACTATGTAGCATTAATAATAATACTTGCATTTGATATAGCGCTTTATTATGTCTTTGAGAAGTCTCAAAGCGCTTCACAGAATATACTGTAAAATGAATTGACTGTATATTTTGTGGGAAAAACGCAGCAGCCTATTGTGCACAGCAGTGTCCCACAAACAGTAGTGGATTGAGCGACCAATTTTTTTCTCTTTTTTTTTAAAAAGAGGTTATTACCCCAGGAAAAGCAATCCGCCAATCGACTAACAATCAGGTTCCTACTTACTGCTAGGTGAACAGAGGCATGTGGAGTAAGGAAACTTCCCCAATGTTTCGCCCTGCCCAGGAATCAAATCCATGTCCTCTCGCTTGCGAGGCGAGTGCTCTAACCACTAAGCTACAGAACTCAGTTAGTTACCTGAAGTATACGTTTGGGTTGGAAGCACAGAAAAGGAGTGTGAAGGTCTAAATCTACCACAGGGCATTTTGGGTCCAGTTTTGAAGGCAGCACAATCTGCAGAGGTTCCAAATGAAATACCTGTAAAAATATCAACATGCTTTATTTCAAAAGATGCACATGAATAAAGACACCTGGTTAACATGCAGAAAATAAAATTTATTTCCAACAAATTCAATGAAAGCTTTATAAATTCAATGTGAAAATATGAATTAACATAACTTGAAATGACTCATACATTGCTGAAACACCCTGAGATTAAACAGCAATACAGGATAAAGCACAAGAAACCTAGCCTTCTATGGGACCTCTGAGGAAATAGATAATTAATTTTCCAGAGGATAGAAGCAGATGTATTGTCATTTTTCAGCACAAATCTTTTCACTGCATTAATTTTCTTGAGATTGCATATCCAGCATAATGCCACACTGGTTTTCTTATCAATCTGGACTCTGGCCTACATTAGAACCATTAAATTGATATAGATACAAATAACCCCCCACAGATTCCCATTTATTATAATCTTCACATTTGATAAAGCACCTTTCACGCCAGGACTTCTCAAAGCGTTTCACAGGATATACTGTGAAGTGGAGTGTAGGCAAAAACAGCAACCCAATTATGAACAACAATGTTTCAGAAACAGCCATAAAATAAATGACAATCTTAGTTAGTGATTGTTGGCTACGGTACCAGGAAAAACTCACTTCTCTTGTAGTGCCATGGGATCTTTAACATCCACCTGAACAGGCAGATGAGACCTCAGTTCAACATCTCATCTGAAGAACACATCTAACAAGGCAACCCTCTCTCCAAACCCCCACCCGCACCGCATTGGATTGCCAGCCTAGACTATTTGAATTCCGATGAAGGGCTTGAAACCACAATCTTCTGATTCAGGAATGAGTGCTGCAAACTGAGCCAGGTTGACACGCTGGCCATTATGCAGCTCCATATATCCCAAAACATACAGATGGAAGGATCAGGCTCATTAGTTAGACCCCCATCTTCCTCCATTGAAAAGCTTGCTGATATTCACTGCCTACTAAGAATGGCTGCTTGAGTTACTGCCTTTTTGAGTATAAACGGAAGTGAAAAGGAAAATAGAACAAATGCAATGCATTTAAACATTTTCATCTCTTTCAGCATCATCTTTAGAACAATATTTGCAATGAATAAATCAATACCAACTCACCAAATGAAGTGGTCCAGGCGGTGGACTAGGTACTAAAGACAGCTTTGCTGCAAACTGTTTCACCCTGAAATCAAAGTCTACATCTCTACAGGATTTAAGATGCACTGTTAGGCTGCAAGAAAAGATCATATGAATAAATAACATGAAAGGCCAAAGTACATCTTACAGAATCTAAAAATATCTGATTGTTATTGCAAATGATGTTGGACTTCAGATAAAGAAACCAAGAGTTAATCAGTCTCAAGGCATAGCCACATAAGAATATCACTCAGAATCAATCTTCTTTGGTGAACCTGACAAAGCTTGGATGCAGATTCCGGTGACTGATGAGACATCAGTGGCCAACTCAGTGAGCTGAATCAAAAATCCTCATGGTATTAGCCTTAAGATAATTTTCGGCAATTTTAAAATTGAGCAGATTTATGAAAATGTATTGAATTCTTAAGTTGAAAGTATTTTGGAAGATTGTGTTCTGCAGTAGTTTTTCAACCTCAACAATATTTACGGTTCCACCCTCCTCACCTATATCAATATTAAAAGTTAAGGTTAATGTGTTACTTCTGTGGTCAGTAAGCAAACAAGACTACTTCAAAACCATCATCAATAAACTAAATTATGTTGCACCAATATGAATTTAATATAATAATCCTTGCATTTGATATAGCAAACATGAAAACATGCAACATGCTCTTCATCTTACCAGGAGAGACAGTCCTTAAAGGCTCCATAATAAGGGAATTTGGATATTAAACAAATGCTGAAGGGAGCATACAGCCTGGAAAGTCGCGAGTTTTGCGGCGTTGCGCTCCAGCTTGATTGGCCATTTTGTACAGAATGCATTTCCTGTTAATTAAGGAAAAAGAGTAACAGATTCTATCTTATTGGATGATGGCAACAAGGGGGCTTTCCAAATATAACATTGTGGTTCTACACTACATTGAATAACATACACAATAAATTAAGTTAATCCATTTTTAAAACTATATTTTGGAACCATTTCTGCCATAACAACAATAATTTTACAGTTATATAGAGCCTACTTGGAAAACAAGCTGAGGGCTGGGGGTAAGGGAAAGAAGGTGACCAAAAGTGAAATCTAAAACAAAGATCTTAAGACCGACTTTAGGAGTGGATAAGGAGAGGGTGAGTGCAAGAAAGGAGGTGAGTTGGAAGGACTCTACGATAGAGTTCCAGAGAGCGGGAGAAGAATGCCTGAAAGCACACCTAACGATAGTGGGGCTGGATGGGCAGGGGACATCAAGCATGCTAATGTTTGCTGGGTGGAGGAAGCAGCTGGGGTGGTAATATTGCAGTAGGTGCAGAGGTAGAATGAGGATTTGAATGTTAAGACAAGGATCTTGAATTTGCTCCGCTGGGGGATGGGGAGCCAAGCAAGGATGCAGTTGATCGTCTCATGAACCTGGTATGGAGGGTCCACATCTTGCATATGGAGGAGATGAGAAGTTAGCAGAGAGGGCATTCAAACACTGCAGCCAAGTGGAAGGCCTCCTGTCCCATCCTCTGGCTGCTTCCCCTCTTTCGAGCACCTCACCCTTTTCCACCCCTCTCTCCCCTTGAAAATCCTCCTTGTTTACCGTGCCCCTAAACCCCCCGGCTCCTTCCACAAAGACATCTCCACTTTCCGCTCTTCCCTGTCCCTCTGCTCCGAGCGCCTACTCATAATGGGTGATTTCTGTGTGGAGTCCTGTAGCTCAGTGGTTAGAGCACTCGCTTTGCAAGTGAGAGACCTGAGTTCAATTCCAGGCAGAGGGCGAAACCTTGGGCAAGTTTCCTTACTCCACACAGAGCCTAATAATAATCCCTCCAAAACCAAAAACAATAATAAATTGGTCATTTTCATTCTACGACTGTTTGTGGGACATTGCTGTGCGCAATTGGCTGCCGCGTTCGCCCACAAATATACAGTCAATTCACTTTACAGTGTGTTCTGTGAAGCGCTTTGGGACGTCCTCCCGACGTGAAAAGCGCTATATCAAATGCAAGGATTATTATTATTATTATTTCAACCTCCACCTGAACTTCCCCTGCACCACTTCTGCTGATTTTACTGCCCTCCTCTCCTCCCTTAACCTTACCCTACATATAAATTCACCCACCCACAACCGCGGTCATGCACTTAACCTCGTCATCACCCATGGACTTGACATTTCTGACCTTAGCATAGTGGACAAGGCCATGTGGGACCACCTTTTGATCTCCTTCTCTAGTGGACTAGTGGAGTGCCACAAGGATCAGTGCTTGGGCCTCAGCTATTTACAATTTCCATCAATGATCTAGACGAGGACATTGAATGTAACGTATCTAAATTTGCGGATGACACTAAACTAGATGGGAAAGTAAGCTCTGAGGATGATGCAAAAAGATTGCAACGGGATATAGATAGGCTAGGGGAGTGGGCGAGTAGGTGGAAGATGGAATTTAATGTGGGGAAGTGTGAAGTTATTCACCTAGGTAGAAAAAATAGAAAAACAGATTATTTTCTAGAGGGGGAGAGATTAGATAGTGTTAGTGTGCAGAGGGATTTGGGTGTCCTTGTACGCCAGTCTCAAAAAGTTAGTTTACAGGTGCAGCAAGCAACTAAGAAGATGAACGGCATGTTAGCGTTCATTGCAAAAGGTTTAGAGTACAAGAGTAGGGAAGTCTTGCTGCAACTGTATAGGGCCTTGGTGAGACCGCACCTAGAGTATTGTGTCCAGTTTTGGTCTCCTTATTTAAAAAAGGACATACTTGCCCTAGAAGGGGTGCAGCGTAGATTCACTCGGTTAGTTCCTGGGATGAGGGGACTGACCTATGAGGATAGGCTGAATAAACTAGGGCTATATTCTCTAGAGTACAGAAGAACTAGGGGAGATCTTATTGAAACATATAAGATTCTTAAAGGGCTGGATAAAGTAGACACTGAGGGTCTGTTTCCGCTGGTAGGATAATCTATAACCAGGGGTCACAGTCTTAAAATTAAGGGTCAGCCTTTTAGAACAGAGTTGAGGAAACATTTCTTCACTCAGAGGGTAGTGAATTTATGGAATGCTCAGTCCTTGAACATCTTCAAGGCTGAGACTGATAGATTTTTAAATATAGGGCAGGTAATTAGAGTTAGGTCTGAAGATCAGCCATGATCTTATAGAATGGCGGGGCAGGCTCGAGGGGCCGAATGGCCTACTCCGGCTCCTAATTCTTATGTTCTTCTCTCACATCCCTCTCTCCTCCACCAAGCCCTCAACCATCCTCTACCGCCCTAAAAGGAAAAGGCTACCCCCTGAGACTATCACAAAGGCCCTCTCATCATCAGACATCCTATCCGTCTGGCCTTCCACCCACAGAGATCCTGAAGCAGCCATCCAGCTACTCCATGATCGCCTCTCCTCCCCTTTCAACTCCCTCGTCCCCCTAAAATCCAGGACCATCTCCAAACCCACCCGATCCCCCTCGTACAACAACCATTTCCCCCGCCAAAATATCCAAACCCGTCTGCTCGAGCGCAGATGGAGGAAAACTGGCCACCGCCAGCTGTGGCTCCAGTATCTCCACAGCTACCATCGTTCTTTGACACGCACAAAAACGGCCTTTTACTCCAACATCATCTTGGAGGCCAAAAACAATCCCCAAATCCTTTTTTCCCCACCACCACTACCTCCTCTGTGCCCCCCTCAGGCCTCCTTAATCTTCACATCAAATGCCAAGTGCGAGGAGATCATGGACTTCTTTTCTGCTAAAATACTCAACATCCAACAACAACAAGATACCATTTATAGAACGCCTTTCACATCGGGAGGACGTCCCAAGGCGCTGTACAGTTGGGTCAGGACCCGAGCAGGGGGGAAATGGTCAGGGTGAGGGAAGGGAAGGGAGGGAACGAGGAAGGGGTAGAGAGTCGAGAGGGGAGCTGAAGGCACGGTCAAAGAGAACATCCGCCAGGCAGCCTCATCCACCTACCCTTTGTCACCCACCACCACGCCCTCTCTGCCCCCCTCACCTTCCTCATCATCTGCTCCTACCACCACCCCTTTTCTACACACTTTCTCCCCATCTCTCCCTCTCGCCCACCTTCACCTCCATGAAACCCATCACCTGCTGCCTCGATCCCCTCTCCACCAACTTACTGGTCACACAGCTCCCCCTCTTATGCCCACAACTGGCTGACATCATCAACCAGTCCCTCTCCTCCGGATCAGTCCCTGCCTCCCTCAAAACTGCTGTCATCACCCTCCTCCTGAAAAAACCTTCCCTAGATCCCTCAAACCCCAGCCATTACCGCACTATTTCTAACCTGCCCTTCCTCTCAAAAGCTCTAGAACGGTTTGTGGCCAACCAACTCTGCGCACACCTCTCCTCCCACTCCCTCTTCGAACCTGTCCAGTCCGGTTTCCGCCCTGTCCATGGTACAGAGACTGCGCTTGTGAAAGTCACAAACGATATCCTCTCCATTTGTGACCAGGGCTCCCTCTGCCTGCTTGTCCTCCTGGACCTCTCCACCGTGTTCGACACAGTCGATCACGCCATCCTCCTCCACCGCCTTTCCTCCGTCATCCACCTCAGTGGCACTGCACTCACCAGGTTCGAGTCCTACCTCACAAACCGCCAGCAGTACATCTGCACCAACGGCTTCTCCTCACGCTCTCACCCGGTCACCTATGGGGTACCCCAAGAATCCATCCTTGGCCCCCTCCTCTTTCTGATCTATATGCTCCCTCTTGGGGATGTCATCCGTAGACATGGGGTACATATCCACATGTATGCAGATGACACCCAACTCTATTTTTCCACCTCTCTTTGCGACCCCCAGTCTGCCTGTCAGACCTCAGGGGCTGGATGAGCGCAAACTTGCGTGGAGTCCTGTAGCTCAGTGGTTAGAGCACTCGCTTTGCAAGCGAGAGACCTGAGTTCAATTCCAGGCAGAGGGCGAAACCTTGGGCAAGTTTCCTTACTCCACACAGAGCCTAATAATAATCCCTCCAAAACAAAAAAAAACAATAATAAATTGGTCATTTTCAGTCCACGACTGTTTGTGGGACATTGCTGTGCGCAATTGGCTGCCGCGTTCGCCCACAAATATACAGTCAATTCACTTTACAGTGTGTTCTGTGAAGCGCTTTGGGATGTCCTCCTGACATGAAAAGCGCTATATCAAATGCAAGGATTATTATTATTATTATTATTATTATTATTAAACTTCCTTCAGATGAACGTTGATAAGACGGAAGCCATACTCTTCGGCTCTCGTCAACGTCTAAAATCTCATGGTTCTCACCTCCTCCACCTACCCGATCTCCCCCTAAAACTCTCAGAACCCGTACGCAACCTAGGCATCAGTTCCGACCCCCAATTATTCTTCCTCACCCACATCCGGTTCCTTACCAGCACCGGCTTTTTCCAGCTCCATCACATCGCACATCTCCGCCAATACCTCTCCCCAAAAGCCGCTGAAACTCTGGTCCATGCCTTTGTCACCTCTCGGCTAAACTACTCCAATGCCCTCCTCGCTGGTCTCCCATCCACTACCATCCATGAAATCCAACTCATTCAGAACTCTGCCGCCCGCATTCTCACCCGCACGAAACTCCACTCCCCGATCACCCCAGTCCTTGCCAGACTGCACTGGCTGCCTATCCCAGAGAGGATTGAATTCATGATCCCCACCCTCGTATTCAAGTCCCTGCACTCCTCTGCACACCCCACCCCCACCTCTCTAACCTCCTCTCTCCTCAAAACAGCACCCGTTGCCTTCGTTCCTCCGGGTCTGGCCTCCTCCTTTTCCCCTCAGTCCTCCGCTCTACCCTCGGCGGCTGTACCTTCAGCCACTATGCCCCGAGGCTCTGGAACTGCCTTCCTCATTCGCTTCGTCTCACTCCCTCCCTTCCCATTTTCAGGTCTCTGCTGAAGAGCTTTCTTTTCGACCGCACCTTTGGTCACCTTCCTCCCCTTCCCCCTGGCTCGGTCCCGGGATCCAAAACTGTAAAGCGCTCTGAGACGCTGTCCGGCGTGGAGGGCGCTATATAAATACAAGTTGTTGTTTATCTTATATTGCACAGTAAGCTGTGAAGGTGGCAATGCCTGTCAGTGCTGTAAACAGTGCCTTAAAATTTTACAAAAAATTTGATCCTTTCTCTGATGTTCTCTTTTCTATTAGGAAGCGCTTTGACATTGACAAATTGCACAAACTGAGGATTCAGTCTTCAAAATAATGAATGTAAACCTACATATTATTACTCAAATGGTAATGCATATTGGCAAATCAGAACAACAGTTTTAGATTTTATTTCTGAAATAACTGAATACCAAAGGGGAAAATTTTCCTGTTGCCTTTTCCCTTACACAAGTGAACTACAACAACAACTTGCATTTATATAGCACCCTTCACGCGGGGTAGCATCCCAGAACCCTACAAATGCGTGCATTATTTGGTCAGATATTCGTTCTCCACCATGAAGTATCTCTAAATTGTGGTATTGCAGTACTATACCTGAATAGATCTGTAGAACTGAACTGCAACTCCATAGGTCCTTATTCCAAAAACATCTGTAAACACTAAGAAGTGATAACGATCATCCTTAGGCTCAGTCTCAATGCTTAGTTCACCTGTAAGTGAATAATGTACAGAAAAATTTAGAACCATAGAAATCTACAGTACAGAAGGAGGCCATAAAGCTGCAAAGACTCACAGAGCAGGATTATCGTTTCATGCCACTGCCCTGCTTATCCCCAATCCCCTTTGGCTCTCGTAAATGTAACGGATTCAATTGTCTTACATTTTCCTATATTAATTGCTTCAGAATTCTTTAAAACAAATTATATATAAAAGTGGTACTTTTTATAGCATTAAGAGAAGCAAGAAAAGTACTGCATCTGCATAAAACAACAAAAACACTTGTATAGCGCTCTTCACGTCAGAAAGACGTCCAGGGGCCCTGGACAGTCAGGGATTTTGGACCCGAGCTGGGAGTTGGTGACAGGAGGGGTGGAGGGCAGGGCGGATGGGTGTCCGAATGAATGGTCGAAAAGGAAGATTTTTAGATGGAACTTGAAGGAGGCAAGAGGTGAGGTGGAGGGATTGCGGGATACAGTTCCAGAATGTGGAGGCAGAGATGCTGAATGGCCGACCGCCAATGGTAGTGCAGGGGACCTGAAGCAGGCGAGTGGAGGGAGTGGACAGGCTGATATGGGGTTAGGAGGTCGCAGAGGTAGGGGGGAGCAAGACCATGGAGGGTTTTAAAGGTAAGAACGAGGTCATGCAAGGTCACCATCCTTCAGTACAACATTCCCTGTGGCTTAAATATCCTCCTGATCACAGTATTGTAGGTCTGGTGCAGGCTATGAAAAATACACTGTTGTCACCCTCAGTATAAAGGCTTTCCCTGGGAATTTATGAAGTGAGGAAGGAGGAAAACTTACCTGGGAAACATAACTGGGGTAGTCCTTGAAGATCAATATCCTTAGGAACGCTTATATCTTCAGTCTGCTGCTCTTTAAGACCTACACTTGTGGCACTTGAGGAGGAAGAGGGACGTCTGATTTCCTTTTTCTTTTTGAATGAGCGACGTCTCTGAGTAAAGTTATTCTGACAGCCAGATGGACTGTCCTCTTTGCTAACAAATGGAGGAACGTAAACAGATCGAACCTCTGGCTCAAAGGATTCAGTGATACTTTTTTGATCTACCTAAATAAGCAGAAATTAAATTCTGTTGGATGCAAATATCATTGAGAAATATAACTCATTATAAAAATTGTGAAATTTGCTGACATTAACAGGTAAAATAAAAGTACCAATAGATATTATCCAGCACTTAAAAAATCTGAAAATTCTCCAAAGCACCATACATTTCAAACACTAGTTAAAGGAAAACAGCCCGGTATTTTGTGTGGAAATACAGAAAAAATTAGGAAGAAACTCATGGAAAAATCATTTTTAACCCCACACTGTCAAAGTCAGTATGTAGCATGAGAAAATCTAATCCAAAGTAACTTTTGCTTTGAGACATAAAGGGTTATAATTAAGAGGTATCCATTTCATTTAATTTTGTTGCTTTGGTTTGAGAAGCTAATTTAACAAAATAAATAATTTGCTGGAACGACAATGTACAGTGGAGGGATTTGGGTTCACACCCAAAATCACGACATTCTGAGATTGCGCAATCTCACCCCGCAAGCTATGGGGAAGCAGGAAACTAGTTCAAGCACCCCTTCACAAGGAAGTCCTGTAGCTCAGTGGTTAGAGCACTCGCTTTGCAAGCGAGAGACCTGAGTTCAATTTCAGGCAGAGGGCGAAACCTTGGGCAAGTTTCCTTACTCCACACGCCTAATAATAATCCCTCAAAAAAAAACAAGAATTGGTCATTTTCAATCTACGACTGTTTGTGGGACATTGCTGTGCGCAGTTGGCTGCCGCATTCGCCCACAAATATACAGTCAATTCACTTTACAGTGTGTTACGTGAAGCGCTTTGGGACGTCCTCCCGACGTGAAAAGCGCTATATCAAATGCAAGGATTATTATTATTATTAAAAGGGAGGGAAACCATTAAGTACATGTTATCTGCAGAAGACTGTCCAGCATCAGAACACCAATGGCAAAAATATTGGGAACAGGTTGCTTACCCATGGATGCTACTAATGGGAGGATTATAGCTTCTGTACTAACCAGAGAAATTTCTTTTAGTTTTTCACTAGATGCTCCTAGCACGACACAGATTTCCAGAATTGCAGAAGGCAGGACATCAGCCATGGGTGTAGATCACAAACAATCTCGTATTGACGGTGCTGCTTTAGGGGTGATATGGTTGGGTGCAATTGTGTAAACTTTTCTGCAGTTTATTCAGCAAAGAAATAACTAACAATCTGCAACCAAGAATAATTGGTTCAAAATCTGACTTTAAAAAATGCAATATAATTTTACAGAACGGAACTCATTCATAGAATCACAGAATCATACAGCACATAAATAGGCGGTTCGGCCCATCGCGTCTGCACCGGCTCCTAAAAGAGCAATCCAACTCAATCCCACTGGCCCACTTTCTCTCCGTAGCCCTGTAATCCTGTCCTCCCCAAATACCCATCTACTTCTCTCTTAAAAGTTGTTATTGAAACAGCTTTCACTACCCTTTCAGGTAAAGCATTCCAGATCCGAACAACTCGCTGGGTGGAAAAAAAAATTCCTAACCTCCCCTGTTTCTTTTAACCACTATCTTAAATCAGTGCCCTCGGGTTACTGACTCACATGCCAATGGAAACATTTTTCCCAGTTCAACCTATCAAATCCTCATGATCTTGAAAACCTCTATTAAACCCCTCTTAATCTTCTCTGCTCTAGAGAGAATAATCTTTGTTTCACTAACCTCTCCTCATAACTAAGGTCCTTCATTCCTGGTACCATCCTGGTAAGCCTCCTTTGCACCCTCTCCAATGCCCAAACATCTTTCCTAAAGTGCGGTGCGTAAAACTGAACGCAATACTCCAAATGAAGCCTAACCAGCATTTTATAAATATTCAACATAACCTCCTGACTTTTGTATTCTATGCTCTTTTTATAACACCTAGTATCCCGTATGCTTTTTTAACAGCTTTATCTATCTGTCCTGCCACCTTCAGAGATTTGCTTATATGAACCCCCAGGTCTCTCTGTTCATTTGCCCCCTTTAGGATTGTACCATCTAGCTTATATTGCCTCTCCTCATTCTTCCTACCAAAATGCAACATTTTGCATTTCTCTACATTAAACCTCATCTGCCACGTTTCTGCCCATTTTTTCTAAATCCTCTTGGAGTACGGTGCTATCCTCCTCACCATTAACTACTTTTCCTTTCTTAGTATCGTCTGCAAATTTGGGAATTGTGCTCCCTATATCCAGGTCCAGATCATTAATATAGATCAGAAAGAGCAGTGGTTCCAATACCGATCCGAGGGACACCACTACACACCTCCCTCCAGTCAGAAAAGCAACCATTTACTACCACTTTCTGCTTTCTGTCTCCTAGCCAGTTCTGGATCCAAGTTGCCATTAGTCCCTTTAATACCATGGGCTTCTATTTTGTTTACAAGTCTCTTATGTGGCACTTTGTCAAATGCCTTTTGAAAATCTAGATAAACTACGTCTACTGCACTACCTTCATCCACCCTCTCAGTCACTTCATCAAAACATTCTATTAGGTTTGTCAGACACGATCTGCCTTTAACAAATCCGTGTTGACTGTCCTTTATTAAACCATATTTTTCTAAGTGAGAATTTATATTGTCCCGGATTATTGTCTCCTGAAGTTTTCCTACTACTGATGTTAGGCTGATTGGACTGTAGTTCTCAGACTTATCCTTCTGCCCCTTTTTGCACAGGGGAGTAACATTTGCAAACTTCAAGTCCTCTGGCACCATTCCAGTGTCCAAAGAGGATTGAAAGATTGTAGTCAGAGCCTCCGCTATTTCCACCCTTGCTTCCCTCAGTAAACTAGGATGCATCCCGTCCGGACCAGGTGATTTATCTATGTTGAGCACCGACAGCCTTTTTAGTACCTCCTCTCTGTTGATTTTTATCATATCTAATTTCTGTTCACATGCCTATGATATTGTGGATTGGTTGCATCGTCTTCTTTTGTGAAGACAGTTGCAAAGTACTTATTTAGTACATCAGCCATGCCCTCTGCCTCAAGAAGAAGATTTCCACTTGGGTCCGAATTGGACCCACCCTACCTTTGACTAACCTTTCACTCTTGATATGCTTATAAAATACCTCAGGGTTCCCTTTTATGCTTCCTGCTAATCTTTTCTCATAAATCTCTTCGCCCTTATTTCCCTTTTCACTTCTCCTCTGTACTTCCTATATACTTAAGGAAAAAAATGTCCAGTTTGATCCAAGCACTTTTTAAAAAAATACATTTAATTACAGTATAATGAAGTTACCAATTTCTCACCTTTAAACTGATTATGTGGGGCCCATGTCTCTCTTCTGTACCAAATGTTGATGCCCTGTATGTACGAGTAGATCCTTTCTATCTATTTTAGCTGTTTCAATTTTCCTTACTTTGAATCCTGCAAATATTTTTCTGTAATCTCTGTTTGTGTCTGGAGTTTAGTTTTCTTATTGTTATTAAACTTGGTGTTAGAAGAGGGTTGTTGACCCATGATTTCATTAGAGAAAAGACTGAAGGATATGAGTTGGATATAGATAACCATGCCTTGCATCCACAAAATCACAACCATGAAAATAAAGGAAATCTGTTAGAAAGCTAGACGTAGTTTAAGCTAGATGGTGTAATCTTAAAGGAGGTGAAGGAACAGAGAAACCTGTTCTGATGAACGGTCGTGGACCCAAAATGTTGACTCACTTTCCTTTCTCCTAGATGCTGCCTGACCTGCTGAGTGTTCCCAGCGACTTCTGTTTTTATTTAGAGATCTGGTGGTTCATATAAGTAAATCTTTGAAGGTGGCAGTACAGGTAAATAAAGCTGTTAAAAAAGCATAGGAGTATAGAATACAAAAGTCAGGAAGTTATGATGAACCTTTATAAAACACTGGTACAGTACAGTGTTAAGTTATGAGCACCACACTTTAGGAAAGATGTTAGGGCATTGGAGAGTGTGCAAAGGAGGTTTACCAGGATGGTACCAGGAATGAAGGACCTTAGTTATGAGGAGTGGTTAGCGAAACTAAGATTATTCTCCCTAGAGCAGAGAAGATTAAGAGGGGATTTAATAGAGGTTTTCAAGAACATGAGAGGATTTGATAGATTGAACTGGGAAAAACTGTTTCCGCTGGCATGTGGGTCAGTAACCCAAGAACACCGATTTAGGATAGTTGTTAAAAGAAACACTGGGGAGGTTAGGAAATTTTTTTCACCCAGCGAGATGTTCGGATCTAGAATGCATTACCTGAAAGGGTAGTGGAAGCCAATTCAATAACAACTTTTAAGAGAGAAGTACATGGATATTTGGGGAGGACAGGATTGCAGGGCTATGGAAAGAAAGCGGGCCAGTGGGATTGAGTTGGATTGCTCTTTTAGGAGCCGGCGCAGACGCGATGGGCTAAATGGCCTCTTTGTGTGCTATATGATTCTATAGCTTTAGAAACAATATCTCAAAGAAAGTGAAAGTTACTGGATCTTGTACAATATTTGTAATTCCACCATATTAACTTAATAACTGAATGGAAAGGAACTAAAACAAATCTAATTAATTGAAATTAACATGACAGCTTTATCTGTAAACCAACTTTTTTTAAAGAAAACTAAAAATATTTAACTTATTACGGCATGAATTGAATTGGTGAGGCAGAATATTTGGACAAATCAGCCATCAAAAGACTAGAACTTTTGTCACAAGTAAACAGCACCATGTTGTTGAATCACTGTTGCGAGAAACATCAATCCGCTAACTGCTTCTAACACAACCATTCCCGGTCACCCTATGGATAATTAACAATTGGAAGAGTTTAACAGGAAACGCAGTTGCGGCCAGGAAGCTAGGCAGATTTTTTAAAAAAAAACTGCTTGATACTATGGTCAGAGGAATGTAGAATGAGTATAATTGAAGGATGAGATTAAATGGCCAAAAGTCGTTCTTCATCTGAACCAATCATGTGAACCCAAACTGACTTGAAGCAAAAAACCATACCCATTTTATTTACACTCAAAGCTCTGCCTCAGACCACTTGATTCCTTAACTGACTATCCTGACCCCTAAAATATGCGACAACCAGAGCTTCCTGCATCTAATCACTGGCAGAAGAGTGCTTCAATATCTTGGAAGAACACTCAAGAGAATTCCATACTTATGGCACGGTCCTCTAAGCCAAGGGCCTTGGATTCATGGTTTTTTGGCCATAATAATAATAATAATCCTTGCATTTGATATAGCGCTTTTCACGTCGGGAGGATGTCCCAAAGCGCTTCACAGAACACACTGTAAAGTGAATTGACTGTATATTTGTGGGCGAACGCGGCAGCCAATTGCGCACAGCAATGTCCCACAAACAGTCGTAGATTGAAAATGACCAATTTATTATTGTTCTTTGTTTTGGAGGGATTATTATTAGGCGTGTAGAGTTAGAAAACTTGCCCAAGGTTTCACCCCCTGCCTGGAATTGAACTCAGGTCTCTCGCTTGCAAAGCGAGTGCTCTAACCACTGAGCTACAGGATATCCCACCTCCAGAGCCAAAACACCACCGCCTCTGAGGCTATGCCTCCAAGATGGCTCTACAATTGGTCTAATAGCCAGTGGCAGGTGCATCTATGTGTCAGGACACTTCCCTCAGCCTCAGGTGCTATGCCCCTACCCTATTTTAAATAAATACTGGAAGCCACTTAAGTCGGACACATTAGGGACAGCCGTTTTGTCAGGCTTAGGGGGTGTCCGAGGTTAGGTGAAATACCATTCCCATCCAGCAGAGCTGCCCTGCCAACTTCATATAATACATAATAATGTTGTTTCACTTGAAGCAATGTTAACTAACCCGTTAAATTTAAAATACTCACAGAATTCAGTAAAATATATTTACCTCGGTTTGGCTGCAAAATACAGTACAGTACTTTGGGTGTACTTTGCCAGCCAGCAGGAGCGGTGGTGGGGCTTCCTCCCTCCCATTGCCATTCTTCCTCCCCCTCACTGATTGACAGCCCAACTCCAGCCGCTTGTGAATGGCTGGAGTCCACTGACAATCACATTTGACTCCTCCCATCTATATCTGGGACTCCCTCATGACTGAGTGGACACACAGAAGGCCCAAGTGAGTGCATTCAGTAGTGACCGACAAACAATTTGCCCGGAGTAACCAGATTTTCTTCTGAATCAGTTGCAATATTTAAAACAGACTATAAAATATAAAAATATTTAAGACTGCAAATGAATTGAGA